CTGTTTGTACTCACGTTCACTTTTTGATGAAAAGCCGCCTCAGATGTTTGACAATTTATCTCTACTATCTAGTTCCCTCTGTTGACTGTTCTTGTCAAATTATTCTTAGATTCTTGTCGATCTCATGAGCGTGCTACTCGTAGATTAAAGATAGTACCTTCGGTCCTAATAAATATGACACGCAATGATTGTAATAGAACGAGATACCATTATAAGCAAAACTTGAAAGTGTAAGCAAGATCGGATTTTTTTTGCTTTGCGTGTACTTTTGTTTTTGGATTACTCGACTTATTTTCCCATCAAAAATCAAATGATAGTTATTATACGCAAGTGAATATTTGATTACAATTCATTTATATTTATTAAAAAAATAATTCCTATTTACATATTTAAATATTTATAATTTTTAATGAAATATTGCTAAAAATTTTCAATATATGTACCTATATATTAAAAACAAACTACATAGCATTTCTAAGGCTTTCTTTTTCTATAGCGCTACATTATGAAATTGATCAATACATGTAATGCATAGACATGAAAAATAGATTATTTGAGCATTTGGATTGGGCAATGGGTATATTGCCCACAGTGCCAAAGAAATAACCTGTTATAATCACATTGAACCCAAAATCAATAAACCGCAAATAATGAAATTCTTCTGAATTTTATTTGTACTTCTATATTGTGTTTTTGTGCCACTCTGTCATTTTTCTATTTTATTTTAAACATACAAAAAGTACCAATGAAAGAAACTAAAATATTTTTTTTTATAACATCCAATAATGTACATAATGCAAATAAAGTAAAAATGATAAAAGTGTATAAATAAATATATAAAATGTACATAAGAATATAAGAACCTACTACTAAAGGGGGGGATTATTAGTAATTCGGACTACCAATCTCATTACTAGCAATATACCCTGTCAGGTGGACCTCCACGTGGTCCCCCCTGGAAACCATCGTGCTGAAGACCAGGTATGTTCATCACGGTGGGCTAACTGACCTGCTTTTTCATCCCTCACTGGTGCCCCGCCAGCGAATACCGATAGCGCAGGCGGGGTTACCATTCCATTAAAAAACCGACTCAAAACTACTATTGCCTAAATTCGAGAGACAACGGTAGGCTTGCCAGTTGACATGAAGTATTCAAAATGTCATGCGGTTCCGGCATAGAATGGACCACCCTTTCCGTTTCCGTGCGTATCGTAAGATGTAACTAATAATTACTATACCAAGAATCTGGCGTGATAATATGCATACATAAACATATAAAATCTTTAAAACTGCTAAGAAATTTATTAAGATAATTTATTAAAATTTAATCCATACACTTCTTTCGAATATATGTATTTATCAAAATTCTCTCGAATGAAGGTGAGAGAAAATTGAGGTTGTCCTACCCATAATATCGTATGCTTGCGATGCGGGGACTTAATAATAAATTCCTTTGTGTAAAAGGAACAAAAAATTAAAATTCCTTTCGTGTCCCTGGGTCTCCTTCAGCGCAGTTTTGTCATTTTGTTTGGAGGGATCTCATGTGACATGATACGCAAATCTCTGGAGTAGATATTATGTAGGTAGATTACATGAATTTATGCTCAGCGCAATTATTTCGAAGCCGCGTCGAACTTTTGCATAGTTATTTTTCGTATATTTCAAACGTCCAATAAAAAAGTTGTTTGTGAAACAAACTTTGCGTTTCTTGGTTCTGGTAGTACCATTTTATTGTCTATTCGTTCGTGTGAAATAGAGAAATCATTTGGGAAATATACATATAAGGTATATAATTTATGATATATAAGAAAATTCTTACTAATATTATAAATGTGAATATGAGTTCATGTTTGTGTGTTGCATCTTAGCGACTAAATGACTTAACCAATTTCTATGACATTTGGTATTCACGTCCTATATGGTATAGAGAAAGACATAGACTACTTTTTATCCCGATCAGCAAATATATCATGATCACGTGGACAAAGTTGCAGGTAGCAAAAGTTAGACATAAATATATGTCATAATAGATATTATTAAAATTACAACGATTACATAGTAATAATTATATTTAGTAATAAAAAATAATTACAACGCTCCAGATAACACACAGTATAGTCTTGTCAAGAATAATTAGATATAAGATAAGAAGATAGAATTATTTTTTTAACATAAAAATGTATAGTATGTTATGTTTGAGCATACATAGAGCTAAGGCTAATTAATATATTAGATATATAATAATAGACGAGAATTCTATTTACTTTGTGTTTGCGCTCTTTTTTTTCTTGTACCTTTCTTGCACTAGATTACCTCCTAATCATTTTCTCTCTCTGACTACATTGGGTTGACTGAAAAAAATCCCTTTTAGAGATAAGCCCACCGTTGCTAACAAGTTGTTAAACTAATCACTATATGTATCTTTTTATAAGTGCAACAAAGAATATACCTATAAGAATATACGGCGACACAAACTTTCAATGTAAGTGTTTTAGAAAACACTATAAATAAAACATATTAATTTGACCGACAGACCTCGGCTTATACTTTATGCTGTCATATTGAATAATGTAGTCCGCAAAATGCGTAAACAATGAGCATTATTTTTACCTGAACGACAACAGTTGTAAGGTCTCTGATTTTCCTATCTAGAAAAAAGTAGTGTCGTAAGCATAATTTTGTCCTTGTACGTGCGACGTGAACAAAACATATTGATTGTTGATTCATATCTATTCTAAATACAGTATATATGCCAAGGGGTAAAAAACAAATTCTTATTACTTTCCCTACTTTCATATTTATAATATTAGTTTGGTTGTCTACCAGCTGTGCCGCAACTAAGTTCGAATGGCAGCGAAAATTAAAAAGTATTCGTAAAAAAATATATTTAGATTTTTTGATACTAAAACCATCTTGAGGTTTTTTGTAAACATGATTAACTGTATCTAGTAATTATTTTTATGAATCACCAAACCTATTTCGAAAAAACTTAACCAGTTTTTAAAACCTAAAAACTTATTACAATCTTTTCAAAAACCTATCGGGTTTATGTCACGTGATTGTAAACTAGCTTATTTTATTTACCAATTTACGAAGAAACTAACTGTAATCAGAAAACTATCAGTATACTGTACTGATATGTGCTCATAATAATCCTCTTGTTTTAAATAGTTATGTTTTCTTTTCTAACATAAAAAACTTGAATAAAAAATCAACAAATCAAATCAGAATTAAAATATCACCTAAAATGTAAAAGATACAAACTTAGAACCTCCTCCTTTTCGAAGCCAACTAGAAATGCTACCTGGCATTTCTGTTATAAATTAAAAATATACCTATTAGACTTACCTTTCCGGTGCAAACTTACGTGGTCTTTCTTATAAATCCCGCATAAGACTTCACCTAAAATCTCTTAGCATGAGAGACTATTAGTGCAATTAGGTTTATACTGGTAACGCCCGACCTCGTTCGCCGTTTAAACAAGGACAATCGGCCATCAGGGTCTTTCATAATCCCACTGTTTACGCAGAGCCTTAGGGCTATTTCAGACAAGACATTTGTATGTTAAATTTCCGTTGAAATTAAACGAAATTCAGTGAAGCAAAAATATAATTAATTCTTCAAAAATCAAAACTAAACCCTACAGTTCTTTTACGAGGCAAACTGGCACATCGAATTTTCTATGTTGAAAATGGTTGCCGTATGTTGGTGTAAATTTTCATTGTCAATGTGTAAACTATACAAAGTATTAATAACACAAAAAGTACGTGTTTCAAATTAATTATCAAGGCGTGTATAGAGCACTATCTCTATGATCATATAAATTCCTATAAGATTGAAAAAATACCAATATTGAATTTCTTCTTTCCACACAGAAAACGGCATGAATGGCAAACATGACGTTCTACAAAGATGAAGTTAGCCGATTATATCTTTTCAATGCCGTAAAATAAAGAAGTGTAATATTTATTGTAGCAATGTGTATGTTAATCGTTTGGACGAACTAATGTGCTAATTCTCATTACTATATTTTTAAATTTTTAATTTTCCCTTATATATTATACCAAAATGAGGACATGTCACATCCACACCGTACACATTGTAAATCTTTCTTCCAACTTTCCAACGAAAGTATTCTTTGCACGAAACGACTATATAATATTTCAATTTTTAAGAGTTCCCAAGCTTTACGACCGGGGAGATTAATATCTTATGTATTTTACAGACAAAAATACATAAATGTAAAAGGCATCATACTAAGTAGTACTTTTGAGTCGATGACAGGGAACAGTTATATCTTTTTTTTTTTTAATAAATTAGTAATGATACTAATACATATATGTATATTTAAAGATAAAAATTAGACTAGTTATTTATTTTATTTTAATATAATGAATATATCGCGAATTAATATCAAAATTTAGATTTTTAACGTAATTAAACCTCAGCTTCCTTTTTTATTTTATGCGCTAGTTCATTCTTTCTTATAAGCTTAAATCTTAACCATCATAATCAGAAATAGTCGATTCAATATCGAACATACCCCCAATTGCCTTCCAATTTGTTCTGTTAAGAGTACCTCGGATCCATTTCTATCTTCATTAGCTGTCTGGTTTTCGACCGTTCATCCCTTGTTCACCTATTAACATTGTGACTCAACCGGTTATCCGGTTTTGCCCATTGCCTTTTTAGACGAACAATTTTAACCCGTTAACCTACCTGTATATGATATTAGTTACCTTTACAATGATTTTATTCTGTATCTGTATAAATAAATAATTTCGTTGCCAAGACCAATTTGTGGGAATTTTCACTTTAGTAAGCAAGTTATTTCGTACCTACTTAAAAGGTCATGAGCCCTGACTTTTCTCATGCGATATAGAAAATATAATAAGCTCCGTTAAGAGTTCTAACGTTTCGATGACTATCGCTTTGTCACTTTTCATATTACCTAAATAGGATATAAAATTATAGACCGTTTGTATCATTGATTACTCCTTATGTATTTATTTAGAAAATAATAAACAGAAAATAAACAATATCAATTTATGTATAAATGTAAATTTAAAGTAGTACATATAATATAAGTATATCTATAGATTTTTTAAAAGCTTGAATGTCTAAATAATTGTTGAATTAATATATGTAAAAGAAATGGATGATAGTATCTAAAAAATATTATAGTACAATTTTTTTTAAGTTATTCTTCGAAAAAGTAATATCTAACATGCTTCGACGCAGGATCAAAATATTCATTGTGAGGTAAGTCCAGCGCTGATAGTACTCCACTAAAATAATGCCTGGTGAAGTGAAGAACGTCATGTGGTTTCAACAACAACAGAGCCTGAAGGTAATCACGGACGGTCCCCGTCAGGGCGCCGCTTTCAGTCACATACCGAGCGCCCTCTGATGACCGGGTGCTCTAAATTTAGAAAAAAAATATTTCATCACCAGTTGTATTTCGCGGCTTTGCACGTGTAAATCATTCAATATATAAAGTACCTCATATTCTTAGTTCCAATATAATCTTTCCGTGTACCAAATTTCATTCGGTTCCATTTCGTTTTTTTTTTTTTTCTTGCATAAAAGAGTAACAAATATCCATCTATTCTTACAAACTTTTGCATTTATAATATCAGTAGGAGAATACCAATGTGCAATATTGCGTATCAATACACCCAGTAGATATATTATTGATATTTGGAATAAAAAAGCAATAACTATTTTTTTAAAGTATTGTAGGAAGTTATTGCTTTTTTTCTTGCCAATATAACCTCGACTCGGGTACAAATTACAAAAATAATATGTTGAAATTTTTTTTAACAATTTTATACATACACGTTTTTAGTAATACAGAATATTTGGCCTATTCCAAAACAACTCGCTGTAACTTTTTGCTTTTGACAGTACTTACTTTTTTTTTACTTACTGACAGGCTATAAAATAATACAGGCTATAAAATAACTTACTAACAATCCTCTAAAGTAATGATTCAATCTATTATACCAGATCATATCAACACCCGATAGTATTAATACTTATTCTAAATTTATAATTATTAAATAAATATTATTTTAAAAAGATATTGAATTTTTTTACTCTGTATATGTTCGGTCAGTGAACTTGTTAAACAAACCATATATTTTATCATACTATAATTTTAAACTGTCAAAAAGCACATAAAATATTACCATAACCAGTTTAAATAAAAAAAAATAAAAATTGTTCCTAAAAATAATCGAGCAATAGAATTAATAAAAATCTATGAATAATCGTAAGTACCAACTTTAAACAAAAATTTAATTTATATAGAAAAAACGAGGATTATTTATTTAAAAAAAAAATATTACCTTGAAGTCCAAATAATCTGACAGTAATTGAAGATCTTGACGCCAGTTCTCTCGTGATGGTGCATGTGATTCTATTTCATCTTTTTCGGGGACAACACGCAAAAGCGGATTCAGGTGCAATATGTAACTGTTGTCAGCCCACTCATGACTAACAACATAACCTTAAATATTATAATTATAGATCATAATTACCACATTAAGGCCTTTATATCTATGTATAAGTAGAAAAACTTTGTATAAATAAATACAGTTTATGACTTTTATATTTTAAGAAAAAGCACTGAATTATATAACTACACTAAAGCACACCACAAGAGAACACCATGATTACGCATTCCACTACTGAGCATTGATCTTGCCTCATAAGAGGAAAATATAGGCCTATTACCACGCCGATTATGAGTTTTAAGTTTTCATTTAGAGTACTTATTTTGAAACAATCTCGTATCAAACTAAGAACTCTTTCCATTCTTCTATAATCATGCAATATTTGTTATCAAATCTAATAGTATTATTGTACCTAAAAAAATATAATGAATAGTTCGAACTCTCTATAAATTCTTACAGGAATATCTCGCACATACAAGATTCAAGACATTTCCACTTTGGCGAACCATTCAGACATAAACATCTGTACTTTATATTAAATTATTTTACCTCTAAGCGTAAGAACAGTCAAAGTTTGGTGAACATAACCAGAAGGCTCTATGATGTGACGTTCCACCTTAACAACGAATAGGGCCTTACTATTAACAATAGCTTGACTGACTCCTTGAGAAACCTAAAAAGAAATATCTTCCTTATTTTTAGCTATATTTATATTATTTGTGATATCGTCATTGAATTCCTTATCCTAACATTACAATTATGCTTAAAATACCTGAGAAAACAATTATATAGTAATAAAAAATTGATATTCTCCTATTATTGCAGGCTATAGAAAAAAATTGTAAATACGTAATAGCTAATCGTCGTCCTATATTAATAATACCGTGGGCATCACAAAATACATTAAGAATACACTATGGCGCCCATGGAACCCTTAATGCGTTGCCATTTTTTATAGGACTAGGGTGTTATTCCTCCATGCCCAGTAATTTCACTGGCATATCTGCCATGTCAGACACCCATTACGTCAAATGTGAGTTCCATAGCTTATTCCGTTTTCTACGTAAGTATATTTTTACTAGCTTTTACCCGCGACTTCGACCACGTGATCGAGATTTTTTTAATGGATGATAATGGAATAGTAACCCCTGCGCTAACGGTACAGCACCAATGAGGGATGATAAATAAAAATTATACAGGTCAGTTAGCCCATCGTGATGAACTCAACAATATATCAATCACGATGATTTCCAAGGGGAACCGCGTGTAGGTCGACCTGATAGGGTATATTGCTAACAATGGGGTTGCTAAGCCCTAATAACTAATAACCCCTTCCTAAACAACTGTTCACTGGCCAGGATAAATGTAACCTATATACTCTCAAAGTATGTATATAAAATGCATACGAAATTTTATAGCGATTGATTAAACTGTTATTATTAAACTGTAGACGCTAAGAAATAATAAACAAACAAACAAATAATGATGGAATATTTAAAATAATATTTTTTTATACCACTGTGGTGGCAAATAAGCATACGGCCCACCTGATGGTAAGCAGTTACCGTTACCTATGAACACCTGCAATACCAAAGATATTACGCGCGCATTGCCGACCCTGAAGAAACCTCTAACCCCCATTTTAAGAACTCCATGCTGTAGTCTCTTGAGAAAACCTCGGCAGGGAGTTCATTCCATAACCTGGGTGTTCGTGGGAGAAAACATAGAGATAAATCAAAGGATTTAATAATTAATAATAACTAATTTCCTTGAAAATATGTAATAAAATTTTTAATGATAATTATGAATCATGTATAAAAATGTTGCATGCCAAACTGGCTGAGTATGAAAGTTACTTATGATCATTAATTCTACCCCTTTATATACCATATTCACTGCAAATAAATATAATTTATTTCAAATATCTTCATTTCAACAAACTTACTTTTCCTAGGAATGGAATATTAGTATTTTCTCTTCCTGAGAACTTTGTTGCTTTTAATAAATATACAAAAACTTTTAATAAATTTGAGTGTTACTAAACTTAGTGCTTATTATATGTTGCTTAAAATAAAATGTAGAAATCTATGGTATAAATATAAAATGGGTGAACCAAAAGACGTTAAAAATCAATACTAAATATTAGTCGTCGGCATCATCATATCAGCCGTTAACTGTCCATTGCTAAACATAGGCCTTCCTTAGAAAGGGGATTTTGCCAGTGGTTGCCATGCTTGGCAGGTGGGTTGGCACTGTAGTTAGACTTTGGTGATCTGTTAGGGACTCTGCTGTCCGTTCCTAGACCATTAAGTTCCCCTAGTCGCCTCTTACAACTTACTTAATATTAGTAATATTTATTATATTACGTTTTTGTAATTGCGGAAAATCTTATTAACAAGACGATTTTCATATTTAGATTTTCGAAACGTTTATTTATTTTTTTTTATTTATATATTCTTAATGTTTAATTAGATAGTAAGTATAATAAGTATAATTTACTATTGTAATCTTATGGAGGAAACAATAAAAAGTATCTATCTATCTATATAATAACCGTGTGGTCCAGCTATAGAAAGGACCACCCATCCCTTTCCGTGGGTGTCGTAAGAGGCGACTAAGAGAATTTACTAATCGAGAGATGAGCAGCAGCGTCCCTCTTAAACCATCACCAAACCCTAACTACAGTTGCCAACCTGTCTGACAAGCGTGGTAACTACTGGCAAAACCCCTCAAGGAGGAGGCTTAATTTCAGCAGTGAATAGTCAACGGCCAATATGATGTAATATATAATAATGTAATAAGCAAAATAACAATTTAAAAGCACTCTAAGAAATCCATCCATACATTTCAAGATTTAAAATATAAACCAAACCCATAATTGTTTAGTACCATAAGCCCACAACTCTGTTTGTTCGTTGTTTTATGCATAAGAACTCTCTTTACTACATTATAAATTGTGTAGATATATTTCTAAAGTAAACTTACATAAATACTCTCGCATATAGTCCCATCCATCAAAACAGTTTTGGTTTTAATATTTCCCTTATAGCGCCGAAGACCCAAGTACCTTAAAATTACGACATTAGCACCTTCCAATAAGAAATCATGAGCCTCTTCAAAAGTATGATAAAAGCGCTTAACAATATGGCGCTCCCCACAAATACGAGTTACTTTGTTATAATAACCACTCTCACAGATTGCCATATAATTTCGACGCTCCTTGGTTACGTTCTTTTTTGTAATATGCCTGCAATAATAATACATTAAAATATTCGTATTTTAAATTTTCTTATTTAATGTAACGAAGATCAATATTTTTATAACTATTTCGGCCATCATAATATACCTATGTTATTTACCTATGTGTTTCTCTTTGTTATAACAGATAATCCAAAATGTTTTTATACTGTTTAAGACTAGAAATTATATATATTTATCTAAGCTACATACATTAAGTACAATACTTAAATTAACAGTAATATTATTAATATAGATTAATTTTTATACCAAAATCAAGCCTTACTCAGTTCTGTTTTCCTCCATCGTATGAAGATTGCAGTCTACGATGCTAACAAGCTTTGATCCTGTTTTCGCTCCTTCCTTTGACGAATGAGATACTACTTGGACCAAGAACTTATCTTTATCTTCACCAAGTACTTCCACAGAAATGCTTATACCTATCATTATATTATATACAATTATCAAAATTGTTACATACAGTTACACTAGCTGTATCCCATGACTTCACTCATGTTAATCAATATAATAAATATCATACGTATTAAATAACCTATAAGTATGGCAAATTTTATTCAAATCCATTTAGTAGTTTTTTGCATAAAAAAGTAATAAATATCCATCCATTCATCCATCCATCGATAATTACAAACCATTATTAATAGTATTATGAAAAGTCTGCATTACTTTCAATTTCCAAAATAGGCCCCACCTGCATCTTGACGGCTGGGAGCGTACTTTCCTAATTTTTTATATCCAACTTAGAATGACAAACAAGCTCACGGTCCCCCTGATGGAAAGTGGTAACAATCGCCTATAAACATGAACAGTACCATGGATATAACAGAGTTTACTGTTTCGACCATGATACCCCTTATGTGTTGCCATTCCTGAGGACTAAGGTTATTATTCCTCTGTACTCTTTAAATTCACTGCCATATCCCACCCTTCAAACCGAAACACAAAGTAATGCAAATACGACTGCTTCACGGTTAAAACACGAATGGGACAGAGGATGTTCAGTGCGCTTTCATGATATAACTACTTAATAATAAAAAACAACAAAGTGCCTTTTAAATTAGGTTTTGAAAAGAGCTAAGCTATTCTGTCATTGTAATAATCAAAAATACCTCCAACAGCACTGCAACAATCAACAGATGGTTTTCTAACTTTCTTTTTATATTGTGGAGCCCGTATTTCATGAACCGCACACACTTCTTCTTTATTTTCTTCATATAGACCTAATATTTTTAATTTATCACGCTCTTGGACTTTATAAGAAATTTTATCATGTCTTCCATATCCATAATCAAAATAAGTATGTCGTGGGTCAACATCATGGCACCACCTATAACCATGTTTCCCCGCACGAACTCTTTTTAATTTGTTGGCTTCATCTTTTTTATGTGGACAAGTGCAAACAATATCATCATGATGTTTCGATTCGTTTAAACAAATACATTCTGTATCGCTTTTATTTTTGTTACATATACAAGGAGCCGTACATTCACAAACAGTAAAACATTTACATTTCTCTGGATCACCACATGTGCATAATGGTTTTGGAAAACATTTACATCCCAGAGAATTAACATCGCAAGTACATTCAGGTAAAACAGGACAGTCAAAAATTGATTTAGAATCATCAGATTTACAAATTGATTCTTGGTTCTGCACAGGTTCACAAACGCTAGTCTTCCATACATCGCATATGCAAGAATTTTCTTGACATATACAATCTTTTGTTTTTAAGCATACACAAAAAGGTTTCGGCTCTGGTTTCTGGCAATCGCAAGGCCTCTGTTTGGTATTATCATTAATATTTATTGCATCTTTTACTTTGGTTTGTATCTCCAATTCATTGTTTTCTCCCTCGCTACTAATGAATTTAATATCTTCTATAAATTTGGGTTTATGTTTACATGTACAAACAAGACTAGGAAACTTATCTGGATAACATACACATGGTTTATCGATATTACCGCAAACACGTATTGGTTGATAATGTCCGTCAGAATGGCATACACAAACGTCACTGCCTTTACATGTACATTTTGTTTGCGGTTTTCCATCGTGGCATATGCATATATTATCCAAATTTAAGCAAACACGTTCCTCTATAGATTTAGGTTCACATTCACAAGGTAATTTATCATGACATTCGCATTTCCCTTTTTTATCAATTTTACAAGTGCAGTAAATTTGCCCTTTCATGGCAGGGTTTATTTGCGGTAACCCATTCATAATAACTATACTTGCCTTACTATCCTTGGGGGACAGAGGTTTACTACAATCGGGGAAAAAGTAATAATAGAAATCATTCTCTTCTTCAACAACTACATCATCAGTAGTTTCCTCTTCCACTCGATCTTTAATTTCAAATATTGTATCACCTTTTTGTTCTGGTAAAATTTCACTTTCTGTACTATCTTCACACGACCACTCAGTATCTGATAACTCTTCAGCAATATCGCCATCGTGGTGACCGCAACTTATAATTAATGTTTCGCCGAAACATATTTCGTCCTTTATTCGGTTATCTATATAAATAATAATTATTATTTATTTTTTTGTTATCGTCTTAATTTTTACTAAATAGCGCGCCTATATTTGGAAATAATATAAAAGAAATAAAATGCTTTATTAACAATGGTTTATAAAAAAAGTTTTTTGGAAATTGTTGTAGAGAGAAAGATTAAAAGAAAATAGACCTTGATTACAATTTTGAAGACGGCTAGCAAGTAAATATATATAACCTAAATAATGATAATTCATAATATTGACCTAATTATGCACATCGAAATAAAACATACTTAAATAGATATTGTTATATGCCCTAAATATAAGTAATAAACAATACTATTAACAGAGTGGGTAAAAGTAGCTTTTTCTTTTACTCTCTCTCCATTTTTTTGGCTGGTCATGGGTAGATATAAAACTATAATATTGTCTACACAAATATTAGAACTATCAATTCATTACTTCAACAATAAATAAAATATATTATTCCGGTATATTTTATTTCATTTACTGTTTTAAATACCGAAGACCATTGACCTATCAAAGTTGTAATTGTGGTAGAACAACTTCAATGACTACAGAATACACCTATTACTACTATAACGCTCAATAGCTGTTTAAGATTAAGACATGCCATTTGTGTCAAAAATTAAATTCAAAAATGAACAAAAGAATATATGACGTTATTAACTAGTGTAACGTTACATGCAAATGCAAAATAACTTTTACTCCTATAAGATTTTTAAAGATCAACGATGCAAGTTTTTTACTCTTTCATCCCTACCTACCAATTACCGTTTCTTTATTCAGACTACGATATACACAATCAATGTCTCTGTCCATCGTGAGTAATTCAGTGTAGTAAGTTTATATTACTCAATACTAGGTAAAAGGTATTACAGCTCAACTGAAACGTATTTAGTGGAATCCTAAAATAACGTAATTCTCCACCCAGTTTTATGCTACTTCTCCTTACAAAAATATTCAAACCTCTTAAGGTTTACATTAAAAAACTAATGTCATTGCTACGGTATGTAAGCATACTTAGAAAAGCATGTAAATAGAGTAAAATGTCATCTAGTAAGCTACGTCGGATAGTTGGGAAAAGTTTATTAGTAATGAAGACCAGCAACTTCATTACTGGAAATATAGAGTATATTCAGGTTGACCTCCACTCGGTTCCCCCTGAAAACTGACTTGGTTAATTCATGGTGAATTAATCATATTGCCCTGATTTGACTTCATCACCACTTATTATCCCTTACTGGTAACTCACCAACGTAAACCGATATCAAAAATTATCAGGCGAAATTACTATACAATTATCAACCTTAAAAAAGGGCTGCGTCAGAAGCCTTCATCGAAAGCAGCTTAGGCCTAGCTTTTTAATATAATAATACAATAACCACGCCTATGAAAGGCAAATTTACTTACCAATTTCAAAAGGGAATTGTTTAGACAAATCTATTAGTGAAATATGAGAGCTCATGTTCATTTTTTAGGTTTTCATATTTTTAAATATCACTGACAAGTACATAAGCTTTTAAATAATTATATAATGACGTTTTGTTAAATAAAATTTTATGTGGCCAGTGTGTGGCCTATAAACTTATGAATCGTCCACTCTACGGATATTCATCGTACGGTATTTTTCACTTTATTTCACATTGTAGAATAAATTCGCTGAGAAGAAACGGAGCAGTAAAAATGTCTTTACGAATAGTATGTAAAGTGGTTATAGGCGTATTTAGAATGAGGTCGATTGACCGTGCCCATTTCAGAATTGTCTGGTACCTTGCATCCCAGGCACTCCCTGAATAATAATCTTAAATATACAAATGGTATTGATTGATTACTTACTCTTTGTAAAGTACCTGTTATGTGTCGTAAGTTTTTACCTAGTCATGGGTATTATAATACAATAGTTATAAATTTTGTTTTTTTTTTTTTGGCACGAATAAAATATATCGAAACGCATATTTTTTACTGTGCTAACCCTAACTAGATAAGTAAATACGCACACATTGTCACATATACTGATATTACTTGTTACTGTAGTTGTGACAATCATGGATTACATAGCATTTCTGTACGAAATCTCCGATGTGTGTGTATAATATTACAAGCTTAATTATCTAGGCATTTAATACTGCTAACTAGAATTTCTACGTAATTAAGCTTTTTATATGATAAACTTAAATAATAATAACTGTATAATTAATATAATATAATTATTATTATAATAATTAACATAATTATATTTTAAATTAGATTTGTATTTTATATGATTTTTACTGTGTAAATTTAAATATTTATAAAACTTTTAAAATAATAAACATTTAAAAATATATAAAATGTACCCATTGCTACATATTAATTTTATCATTACAATTACATCAATGGACCACAGAGCAAGTACTCACTACGTAACAAGGGACTAATAAATATATTTTTGCTGTATTTTGTTCGTACGAGTAGCCAATAATAGTCAAGAATGACAAATCAACAAGAGGCTCTTCTACTTTTTTTTTTCTTAATCATCATCATATCAGCCTCCAACAATCCACTGCTGAACATAAACCTCCCCTTTGGGGAGTTTTACCAGTAGTTGCCAATCCGGGTCAGGGTTTACAGATGTTTTAAGAGGGACGCTGCTGCCCAGCCCCCGCCTTCCCTTAGACGACTCTTATGACACCCACGGGAAAGGAAGGGATGACCTATTCTATCCCGGGACCACAGCTAGTTCTTTTTTTTATGGAGTGAAAATCTAATGGTGACTCCATCTGCACTATTGGTATACGTTAGCAAGGTACCAATGAAAAATGACAGATAAGTAAGTTAGCCTATCATGATGATTTCACTTAAATTTAACCAGGACGGTTTCCAAGGGAAACCGCGTGGAGGTCGACTATGGAGATAATAATGATTAACTTACATTAGCAGCAACATCTTTCTACTATTAAGTACTAAGTATACAAAGCAGCCAATACTATGATTTCCTCATTTTAATTTTTGACATCAATTTATTTTGAATTGATAGAAAATATTTGTAATTCATTTATAGTAGCCCACTTTTAAAAATTTACTACAATTTAATATTTTTTTTATTATCTGCGTACACATAATACAATAGAGAAAAGAGTTTATATACCGAAATAGTAAATAGCTAGCATAGACCTAGAATAATACCTGCTGTCCTCTTGACATGAAAGGTGACGTTCACCGTTCCATTACTGACAGACTGATATCACACTCTCTATTGTTTCTAATAAAAATATAACTGTTTTTAGACCTATCTATTGTTTACTATAATATACCTATTTTTACAGTCAACAGTAATATCTACTTGTTAAGATAAATATTTGTTTAATTTTTTTTATAGATTTATTAAATTTGTAAATAGAGAAGAAACAGTATCTGCGTATGACATAACGTAACGAACGAACGAGCGAAGTGACAGATGATGTGGCCTATACTTTCTTAAATTTTATTAAAAATTCAATTAGTAATTATTTCTATTAAAAATAAAATGCCAAAATGATTTTGTTTCAAGTTATTTTATTTTTAATATGTATCTCTTTATATCAATGTCGCTTACCTGATAAAGTTTATTGTGTTAATCAAGATTGTTCGTGTGAGTATCTTTCAAAAATTGACAATCTGTTTTTTACGTACACTAATAAATTAGAATTTAATTTTATATTTTTCAGCCCCTATATCGAAAGCAAAAACACTATTAAGCTATAATAGTGCTGAAAGTGGATTTATACCTTTCCGTGCTAACGCCGATGCATTAGTGTACATGAAATCAGCTGGTTCTGATCCGGAACTATGGTACGCGAATATAAACGGAAAAAATGGTTTCGTTAATCCACAGTTCTTAAGAGAGAGCAAAATATTCGTTAAGTCTTCAGAATTACTTCACCTACCTCTAGAAATAAGGAAAAAACAGCCTAATGTCCAGCCAGACAAAGTGCAACAACCTCATGAAGTTTTCGAAGGTACAACTATATATACAACTGAAACTACTATAAGCTCAGCACATCAAGATAGCACAACTGAAGCATCTACTCAAAACATACCATCTTTACTGGATGCAAATCAAGTAACCTCAGAACCTGCGAATAATATAATTGAACATAGTCCCAACTCAGTAGTGAATGTATTAACTAATAGCCAGGAAACTGCACCAGATAGTCCTGTGAAACAAGAATCATCACTCCAATCCGATCTTAGTAATATTGAAAATGAAAATAGTAAGTTATTAACAAGTGATACTTTACAAAGTTCAGGTGAAGTAAATAATGTTGGGATTAACAGTGAAATTGAAAATGTAAATGTACAAGAAATAAAACAAGAACTTCCTATTCAAAATTCTCCAGAAGAAACGACTTTACCTCAAACCATTTTAACATCAGCTAGCAGTGATTCTTCTATTGTGGATGTAGCTGATAAAGTGGATTTGTTGAAAAATACACCTAAACCTACAACAGATGACAATGAACAAAATACTTCAACACCTTTGCCTGTGAACAATATTGAAGATAAACAACTACCTCTTGATACCCCTAGTGAAACTAATACTGTGCTTGACAATAATCATATAGAAAACCCATTAAACTCAGATAAAGTTGGTGAAACTCCAAATACAGTCCAATATGATAGCAATTTTCAACAAGACTCATCTGACAAAGTTGGTAATATTGAGAACATAAATGGTGGATATTTTGGTCTCCCACAATCTGCTTCTTTATCTAATGTAGATTCACCACCTGTTCCAAATGTGGAGTCTTCAACTGTCTCAATCATGGAATCACAGCCTATTCCAAGTGTAGAAGCAACAACTGTATCCAACTTGGAACCTCAACCTGAACTAAATGTAGAATCCACACATCTCTCAAACTTGAAATCACCGTCTGATCCTAATATAGAATCACCTCTTCCAAATGTAGAATCAACACTAGATAAAAATGCAGAATTACCATCTGTCCCAAATGTAGATGCTGAATTGTCTACTGACAACAGTAATGATTTAACACAAAATCTGGAGAATGAACATACACCAACATCAATTGAAACATCTACAGAAGGAACAACATTAACAGAAACACTTGATCAATTATTTAGTGATTCCACAACAGAGCCTTCAGTTTATAGTAGTGAAGTTGCAAGTAATGATGATTACAGTACTTCCACAGAACAATCTCTGCCTTCAGATGAATCATATGAGTACAGCACCCCACCTCCTAGTGAAGATACTACTGAAACTACCATATCTGAATCCAAACAGGATATTTATCCTGAAACATCAACAGAAACAGTCACTCAAGATAGTAACACTGATGGTATATTTTCTAGTATATATTCTACAATAGTAGGTCTGTGGCAATCTTCACCAGAATCACCTCCATTGGAAAGTATTTATAATGATGATGCTTCACCTGCTTCAGAAAAGTTGGAGGCTGATGATGGGTTTTCTTTTATGAATTATATTGCATCCAAATACAAATCCATTATGGGAACCAATGAAAATACTCGAGCTATATTTGCTTCAGTAGGTAAGTTTTGCACATAACATTATATCATTTGAAAACAGTCCACCATATAGTTTCATCTGTTACCTTGTTGATCTACAAATACCCCAATGAATAGTAAGTAAATAATGTAGTCCAACTGTGAGTATCGCTGGCACAGCAATTTGCTATCATCATCTTGACAGCCTGCAAACATTTTTTTATACATTCCTTAAATACCACCAGATTGCAGAAAGGAGAAAAGAAAATTCCAATCTTTCACATTGAACTCATACTAATTTTGTCATTGTTGTAGTTAATTTTTGTCTGACATTTAATTAAAAAAATCCTAAAAATGTATTTTTCTGTATTTTTAAGAAGACGCATACTATACGAATGAATATTGTGATGGTGCAAACAATGATCAGAATAATCGGCTATTGACTTTCCTGCTCACAACTGCTACTTCTGTGTTACTATTCACATTGGGGTATTACTACATTGACAATAAGAGGCAAGACAGTCAGCTGATTGGCACTATCAATTCACTGCAGAGGGATCTACTATTTTCTACTAAGGTGACTATTTTGATTTCCTTTTAATGTATAATTTAATTAATATTATTAATAATCTATATCATTCTTTTTCCAAATAATCATCTTCCTACCCTTATCCCAATTATTATTTGGGGTCAGTGTAATATGTTTTTATCCATATTACAAAAAGATTTGGCTTTTAACTTTACGACCAGCCACCTGCCTAACATCAACCATTCCTCTTTAGGATATCCAAAATTGGCAGTAAAAAATCTGTGTGTTATAATAAAATAGAAGACTTTGATATATGCCAATAGATTGTGGTTTGAATTATAATCTTAGACAGTGTAAGTGGATGTGTAAATATAATTTTGAGCCGGCCTAGCAGCTGTAGTGCTAAACATATCTGTTTTTAAAAGTATCCCTTATAAACTGATGTGTCAAGTTATAAATAAAGAAGAACAAATGGCTCACCTATTAGAAAGTGATGACTATTGTGTAATAATATAAATGAAAAAATACAATAAATATCACAGACCAGTTAGTATCTCTTAATATTGACTGCCACTCCTCAACAAAATATGTATCAATTTTGTAAATAGCATGTCATGTTTGCTATACAGTAATTGGCATATGTCAATTTCAGTATAGCAAACATAGTCAACACATCTAATTGGGGAGAAGAAATAGTAATGGGGACTATTACTTGCTAGTAATAGTCCCCATTACTATCTGCTATATACCCTATTAGGTTAACAATTCCTAATGGAAACAGTCATGGTTTATTCTTCATGTATCTATCATCCAGATTTAATGTCATAAATATTGCATTTAAAAGTGTTTTACAACCTGCATGGGAAGGAAAGGATTGTTAGTAATGGAATCTAGCTGCCCCGTTACTAACAATATATTCTTTAAAGTTGAACTTCATGAGGTTCCCCCTAAAAACCATTATAATTCATTCTTGTCAAATTCATTACGATTTGGTATCAGACCTGTTTTCATCCGCACCTCACTTGTGCTAGTGTATACTGACAGCACCAGCAGGATTACAATTATATTTTAAACTATATAAAAAAGAAACACTTATGGATCTGTTTTTAAATATATTTTATAAAATTATGTTTTCCACAGGAGGGTGAAATACTGAAAGAAGAACTTTCAACAACCAAAACTAAACTTGCTGGTATTGAAGACAATTCCTTTGGTATGGATGACATGGTACAGTCATTGAAGGAAGAAATTAATGAATTGAAAGCTCAAAATGAACGACTTAGAAACTCCCTAGATGACAATGAAAAATTGCTTAGAGTATCTGAGAATACTGCAGGGGAGTTACAAAGTACACTGGGTGAAGTTGAAAATACGCTCAGTGAACTCTTAGCTGAGAGAACTAGTTCTGAAGAGCACATAGCTGCATTGAATGGTAAATATTTTTATCTGATTGTTAAGAAAATATTGATATTTTTTTAATGCATGTATGTTTGTATTCTTGACCCAATATATAATCCAAATGATGATGGTGTTCAATCAACAAAGTGCCATTAAATTTGTCCTAACAGCTGAAGCTACATGACACCAAAATAAAGTAAATATTGCAACATACACACAAAATATCAATATTACTCAAACTTATTTTACAATTTTTTTTGTGACTTGTGTGTCATCAGTGATCAAATCCACTTGATTTTTATTTATGGAATATCTTGGGTAAGGGTAGGTAAAATATATCTCTCTGTGTGTCTGTATATTATAGATATAATATACTAGCCCAATACTGGATATATTAAATATTGGTTATCTTTCTAATATAATAAAATTATAACAACATTTATTTTATTTATTCTTTATTGATCACATTACAAAAAAATATCAGGTACAAAAGACGGACTTATTTAACTTATATAGCATTCTCTCTCAGTCAACCTATGGCAAAACAGAAATGTAATTATGTAATAAAAATTAGAAAATTATTGTAGATAAACAATTACACATACATGTTGATATACTTACAAATCAACACATACAATAGAGAACTACTGCACATTATGATTATGTAAATATACATACATGAATACATTAAATAAATATTACTTACATATACAAATATATATCATAAAAACATACAAATATAAATATACATACATACTTATAGATTATATATGATAACACTAGAAGATATTTAGAAAAATAAATATCTAAGAGAAAAGCATTGGAATAATAGAAGCCAAAACAATAATTTTTAGAAATTATATATATATATATATATAATTTTTAGAAATTATATATATATATATATATATATATATAATTTGAATAAATTTGTCTGTCTGCTTATATATTTATTGTGTCATCATCAAAAGCTACTGCACCAAATTAGATGCTGTTTTCTCAACTGTACCTGAAAATCTAATTTAAAAACTAGTGCATATTTTACTTTAATACACCATAGAAGTGACTTATATAAACGATTTTCTTACTCCTAAAATTCACACGTACGAATTAGTAGGCAAAAGGCTAATCCTATATATAATATACAAATTATCATACGCACAATGGCCCAAGTGAGAGACTAAGCGTGGAAAATGGTGTCTTTTTCACATGCAAATTAAAATTTTTATCGAAATTAATATAGATATTGGACTAGTATGATCAGTGATATTTACACCATCAATGACCAAATTATCAATATATAGATATCAGAGCAGTACTAATATTACTCATGCCTAATTTCGAACAAGACTATAGTATCGTTAAACTTCTATTTACATAAACTTCTTATGTGTAACATTTTAAAATAACATTGTTGTTATTTCAAATACTGTATTACTGATACCACATATAAATTATTTGCATTACATGCATAAATTTAATCAGGAACAATATCAATCAATGCTTATCAGTAGGAACAAAAATTAATATTAATAACACATACATTTTATTTAATATGATTAATTTTGAATAATTTTGTGTACTTCATTTTTTTAATAATACTCTTGAACTCAAGACCAATGAATTTAATTAGAATTTGTATTTCTTTCAGGTAAAATAGAGGCCTTTGAAGAAGAATTGATTACAATCAGTCGAGATAGAGATAACTTCCAACTAAAATATGTATCAGCTGAAGCTGCATTAGAGGAATCAAAGAAACAACAGAAACAATTAGAAGATTACACACAAAAACTAAAAGAAGCAAATAACACCATTGAATTACAGAAACATGAAATAACAGCACTAAAAGTATGATTTCATATCATTTTTATAATATATATAATATTCTATATCAATTGCTATAATAATATATAATACTTGTTTATTAATTATATAAGTAGTGTTCTAAAAAATTAAAATCAATCAACACTTTCTAGTCTGTGTGCTCATCAAAATAGTTTTTGCGAAAGCGTCATAGTCGCGCCAGGTCCTGGATCCATGAGAAGGATCTTTATTTTTTCATCAAATAAAGAAATACATTTATCTAATGAAATATTGTTATTTTACTAAAATACTGAATTATATATATATATATATATATATATATATATATATAGTTATAATAATTTTTAATCTTATTATTACTTATATGATACTTAGAATGTGGTCTACCTAATGAGAAATGGTAACCAATCCCTATATACAAGAACATATTCCACACTTCATACTGAAATACAGTGACAAAAGCACAGCTGCTTCATGGCTGCAGCATGTTAAACTGGGTTAGAGGTACCATGTAGATAACTTATATAGTCTCACTGTGGATTTTTTTTAATTAAATGTATAAATGATTTATTTATTACAGGATGCTTTGAAAGAGTTACAAGGTAAAACATCTGCCAATATTGATATTACATCACTCATAGATCACACCGAAATAAAAGCCAAGTTAGCCAAAGCTTTGTCAGAGAAAGAAAGCTTTGAAAACAAATATCAGGTAATATAGTTAATTTTCTTGCTATAATAATAATTTTGTAGATTAATAATATTGCAGGCAAATATGTGAGGACAAGTAATGTTCTAAAATAAAGATTTTTTAGAATTTGTTGGTGTGCATAAAACTGTTTACCAAAGGGGCACTTAATACGACAGTTTATTCCAATTATTATCTGAGTATATATCATAAAAATACACACAGTATCTTTATGATAAATACTTTTTCTTAAACAGTAAATAAAAGCTTTGTAATATAATCTAAGAGCAATGAATGATATTAAAAATAGAAAAACGTCTCCATTGAAAATTTAAAGACAGAAAAATAAATTATTATGTTTGAATATTATTTTAACATTTCTATTTATTAAACTAATTAGCAGTATCAGTGTAATATAATTAATAATGATAAGTTTAATAATCTGTGGTTATCTATTGTTTTTAAATAATTATTCACTGTTATAATCGTAGATAAAGAATGTTGTGTCTTCCTTTTGCCTAGTATATTTGAATCCAACAAGGCAGAGATGAATCGTCAATTTTCGGCTTAATTACATGTATTGATGATGTTTACTGCCAGCTGAATATAAATTAACGTGACATTTTATTCTCATTCACATTTGAAAACATGATTATTTTTTGTAGTTGTGGTAATAAACTGACTCTTATCTCTATTTTCTTTTACCTATAGTTTATAGTATGAGATTTAATTGGCGATAAGACCGCTTTTTGTATCTACCTAATATTTTTCCCTTAAAATGTATATTTTTTATATATAAACTTTAATTATAATCAGATATTATGTTCCAACAAAAAAATTATTTAATCATGACAAAATAGTACAAGAGAGAAACCGTTCAAGAATTGACAATGGTAACGATATCTTATAACATATACATTCACTGGTACCTTTTCTGCACTGGATTACCCAAATTAAATCATTTTCTCTCTAACTACACTGGGTTGGCTGGAAGAGATCTCTTTCAGAGATAAGTCCTCCTTTGCTAACAAGTTGTTAAACTAATTGTCGAATATATTGTTTAAGTGCAATAAATATATATATATATATATATATATATATATATATATATATATATATATATATATATATATATATAAAAGCATAATTAAGAGTTTCTTCCTTTGTCTTTGAAGCTTGCTAAGTTGTACCGATTTTTTTTTCCAGATTGAACAAAAGGAGCGTAACCGACTAGCTAAAGAACTAGAGACAACCCAACTATCATTGGTCACTACTAGTCAACAAGCTACAGAAGCTTCAACAAGGTTGGAAGTCCTTGGGAAGTACTTCCAAGAAAGAGAAAACGAACTAGTAAAGTGAGACACGAAATTTTTTCTTATTTAATAATATTAAATTATCTCAAGTTTCTTGAATACTTAATATATGTGTCAATTATAAAATTAAATGTATTAAGTACACATAGATAAAATAAGAACAAAAAATTATATATGCTCATTACTTAAATACTGGTAACGCTTTACTGCATTGTTTAAAAAAATATATAAGAGAAATGTTATTGTTAACTTTAGTAATGTAATTTACTGTATAGTACACTTGCAATAATATATTCATTTCCTCCAGAGAGCTCAGCAATAAAGAATCGCTTTGGCTCAGCAAGCAAGGTGAATCGGCCAGCACAGTGGAAAAGATAGAACTTTTACAACAAGAAGTGCAGAGGTTTAAGTGAGTAAAATTTTATTTTGATCAAGACTTAACTTTAATAAACAATGGCAGTATGTGATCCGTTATAAAATTCTGACAATTAAATTTAATTGTTAGCAGTTTATGGCTGTTATTTGTTCTCTACTTTCATCATACAAAGCAAAAAAGCACTTGCATTTAAGACTATTCTAACCGTTTATCAATTTGGGCTACATGTACCAAAGACTCAAACATAAATACATACAAACTATCTTTAGTGTTTATGTACAGTCCATATATATTTTTTTTTTTGAAAACAATCCATTTTTAGCATTGTAAATTTTACTATTCAGGGAGAAATGCGATGCACTAACACTAGAGCTAGCGGAGCAGGAGTCGATGCGCCGCACCGCCATCGGCGAAGTGGAAGCCCGCGCCCACTCCGCGTGGCTGGAGGCGCGCGCCTCCCGCCGCGAGGCCGACGCGGCGCGGGACGACGCCGCGGCGCTGCGCCGCAAGCTGGCCGCGCTCTCCGCCGACGGCGCCTCCTCTCCGCACCACAGTCAGTAGCCTGTTTCCACACGTCTGTATTGTGGAGATTAATAGAAAGAATATAGAGTGCCAAAAGCAGGTCAAAATTTTGTCAACTAATTTGACATTTGGCTGACAAAAGTTTGACACTTAAATATTTTAGGATTAAAAATTTCCCAGATCAAGTCTACTTTTTGAAATTGAATTGTGGATTATTATTTCTGATAAGCATCTTTTTTATCATGCACTGTTGTTTTCTCAAATATATAATTTTTTTTTCACTTTTTATTTGTTACGTTTTTATTTTTCACTTTAACCTTGTAATATACTGAGTAATAAATATACATAATAGTCACCTTTAAATTCAGAATGTGTGTAAAATATAATCCTTAAATAATAACATTAACGAAGTCAGCTTTGCTTTCGTTGGGGAATTAAATAAATTTGTTTTATGACAGAAGTGGCGTCTCCATTGGAGAGTGACACAGTTGTGCCGCCCCCGTTGCCGATTGCGTTCCTCCCTCCGCCGCTGCTGCCGCCGCTCCCCCGACCGCCGCCACTAGGAAGATTGCCATCACCACACCCGCCGCGGTAATCCATTTGTGTTTTTTTTTTTCTTTTTTTTATCAAGTCTTACAGACTTTGTACAAATATAAAAACGTTAATGATATAACATAAGTAGAGCTAAAGGGAATCAATAGTTCATCCCTGAAAATGTAACACACAATCGCTAATCTGATAAAAACGGTAACAAATGATTCCGCAAACCACTGCTGATAGAAATTTAAATTTTAAATATGGGTATGATAGACGGCGGTTACCACTTTTCAACAGATGCTTGTTTGCCATTCTAAGTTACATAAAAAACTGATATAGGCATCTTTAAAATAGATGTGACATTTTCATGGAAAGAAATAATATAGTTTTATAACAAAGCTGGGGAAGGGGGGGGGGGGTGTGCGTGCGTGCGTGCATGCGTGCGTGTGTGTGTGTGTGTGTTTGCGTCTTGCGTGTGTGAATGAGTGTATATTAGTAAAAAAAGTATAATTTTTCTATCTTATAACTCGTAACAAATCTTCCGTACTTCCATAATTTAATGTTAGAAGCCATTTAAAGAGCACATTTTTGCAGTTATAAAAGTTTAGTTGTAATATGTTCATCTTTTTATTAATCATATTGTAAATGTCTAAGATAATAGGGAAATTTTTGGATAAAAGATGTGTTACATTTTGGGTTTTTGAAAACAATATCACTACGGCGTTTTTTCGCAACATTCATAAATGTTTGTTGATTCGTAGTCTTGTGTAATCTTAGCACAAGTTTTTGAATGAATAATTGTCTCACTGTTAAAACTTTATTCTCCCCATATAGAAGTGTAGTAGAATAAGTATATGGGCAGAAATTACTAATTTTGAGAATACATCTTTGCGCTTTTCAAGTATGAGAACGTGAGTCTTAAATGCACCTCCCCAGGAATCGATACAATACAGAATAAGCGATTGACAAAAAGCAAAGTAAATAGTTTTCATTAATTTTGGATGGGCGACGTATCGAATGTTTTTAAACACTACAATTAGTCTACGAATTTTAGAGGACAATAAATCAATATGTGGTTTAAAAGAAAGATTATTATCAATCAGTATACCAAGATATTTAATACAATAAGACATAGCGAGTTTAGGGCACGAGCATGAGTTGGTAGCAGAACAGGAATAATTATGTGCATAAATATTTTGTTTATTTATATTCACAACTATACGACTGAGTTATTCCAATGTGACCGTAATCATTTTTCTAAAAACTATTTTTTGTTTGGTCTGTTATGCGATAATGTCGTCAATTCTAAACCGATTGTGAGAATTATTTTTTAATTAGTAGGTTTTTCCCATATTAGTCCCATATTAACTGTGTCACAGTCGTAACTGCCGTCTTTTTCAGAACAAAATTATGATTTTTATGTAGAAAAAATCTATAACTCATGTTCTAAATTTCAAATCTCTACAAAATATGTCGTTCTTAGTTGCATTTTATCAATTTAAAAATATAAGATGTAAGGTAGCTACTCAATAAATCATTATTATTATAGTTTAATATATTTTTTATTAAGAGTGTTTTGTGCATCATAATGGCCTTATCTAACTTTCCAATTGAATGTACAGATACGGTGACAGGCGCTACTCGCCTGAAAGCCGCTACTCACCTGAGAGCCGCTACTCGCCAGAGAGCCGATACTCGCCGGATAGGGAACGTTATTCACCTGGCAGCCGCTACTCGCCGCGCTCTCGCCGTTCACAATACTCGCCACGGTCCAGGCGGCGATCCAGAGACAGGTGAGACGCCCATTATTCGGTAAGTTTTGCTAGTAATCTAGCAATCAGCACACTGATAGCATCGGGGCCATCAGTGCTCTAAGAGTGCCATACTGTAGGAATATACTATTCCGACTTCTGAGAATTTATTGCTACTAATGGGGACTAGTGTCTCCGTTACAAGTAATAGTCCTTGTCAAGCTGACCTCTACATAGTCTTCCCTGGAAACTACCATGGTTAATTCCTGGTGAAATCGTCATGACAGGCTAATGGACTTGACTTTATCTTTGACCTCCATAGGTTTTCACTCAAAACTATCCTGATTAATTGCTGATAAACTCCTCACAAAGACTCTACTGACCTAATCTAATTATACTTACCCTTACTGGTACCCCACCAGTTTTCATCCATAAAACTATACTGTTGAGGATGAACAGCTAAAGAACTCCAAAGATTGTGAGTTGGAATCTAACCTAAAAACTATATGCTAATTAAAACTTTCGATTAACACCTGTGTAGGTTTGACTGTGTGTAGAATAGGCCAACCCATCCTTTTCCGTGGGTGTCGTAAGAGATGACTAAGGGAATTTATGGAAGAGGGATGAGCAGCATCGTCCCTCTTAAAACATCACTAAAAGCCTAACTGCGGCTGCCAAACATGGCAATTACTAGCAAGTTACACTGGGATCATCTTATATTATACTAGCCTTTAAATGTCCACCGCTGAACATAAGCCTCCTCTTTTGGGAGTTTTGCCATTAGTTGCCAACAGACCACTAGGATATGATAGAATTATCTGAAATCCGAAGACAGAGGAAGGATACGACGATCGTTAAATCTGGTAACTTGTTCTACCACCGGGAGGACGACCTATTCCGTAGTGGTACCGAGTTCATCGTCTGCAAGAATTACCAATAGGTATTCGCTAAAGGGTATACAGGTATATGCACCAACCGTGACACACCGATGTTGAGGTAGAGGCAGTGTATGAGGATATTTCAAGAGCCATACATTCCTCTAATACTCAATACACGAAGAGTATAATCTGCCACTATGTCTGGCGTTTATGAACTGTGAGATAACCTTTGATGCGGTCGAAACATGGGCAAAACTACAATCCCTCCAGCGGTTCCAAATTAACTATAGGTATATCGAAGTGTTGAAATTTATATACAGGAAGGCTATAATGTCTGAGTACAGAACCAGAGTACAAAACCCATTCTAGTCCAGAGATATGTAGGAGTGACGTCATATTATTGAAACTACCAACTGCATTGAAAGATGTTTTCAAACTACTAGACTGGAAAAGATATGGTATAAACATAAATGGCAAATACATCACTCACCTTCGATTTGCCAATGATATAGTAATTCCATGGCGGAATTCCTGAAGGACTTGAATAATATGCTCCATGATTCAATAGTGCTTCTCAGCAGGTAGGTCTTAAGATGAACATGGACAGGACTAAAATCATGTCTAACATCCATGTTACACCTATACAAGTTACGATTTAGAACACAACACTTGAAGTTGTCGACGAGTCTGTGTACCTGAAATAACTTATCCGATTAAGTAATTCCAACTACGACCGAGAGGTCAAGCTACGGATCCAACTCTGTTGGGCAGCGTTCGGAAAACTACGCTCATCCAAACTACCTCAAAATTTGAAGACGAATATCTTTAACTAGTGCATGTTGCCAGTGAAGACCTATGGGACCGTAACATGGTCCTACCAACACCATTTCCCGAAAACTACAACTTACTCAGCAAGCTATGCTCGGAGTTCCTTTACGTGACAGAATCCGAAATGAAGATGACCACGACAGATTCAAAGTAACTGACATAGCCCGAAGGATAAGCGAGCCACAAGTGGCAATAATCTGGTCACGTAACCCAAACAACCGACAAGCGATGGGGAAGAAAGGTTTTTGAGTGACGACCTCAAATGCAGTGCAGTGAGTCAGTGGATGCAGGTGGTACAGGACCGTTCCTTATGGCAGTCTATGGGGGAAGCCTATATTCAGCAATGGACGGATAACGGCTGATATGACAATGATGATGACCTGTATACGAAAATATTTAACAAACCAAATTAATCTGCATTATGGCGATAAGCTCGAACTCTGACATGTTAAATTGAAATATGCTCGGCGAAATATAAGCATGTCGAATACACCACAATAGTAAATAATAGTCGACAAATGCCTTTAACTAGCCCATTAGAGATTACAATCGTGAGCATATATATTTTTAGCATATTATTTAGACTGATAATAATCCAAATTATCATAACAATAATATTTGTACATATGTGATTTATATAAATATACCATTAAGACTGTTTTTCCATCTATTAACTCTAAACTGTTGTTTATTTAAAGATCGTAGTACATTATTAAGAGATGACAAAGTAAACTATTATTATACTGCGGCATTTTATGATAACCATTTAATCTTTGCAGTTGTGACGCTAATGTTTATGTCAACATTTCCGATAACTTTAAACCTTGTTGCGGTCAAATACTTTTTTCGTCATTTATGTACAGCCTGATTCATTTTATAAAGATACATATTTTTTCAATTATTTTCCTATTTATTAACTCATAGCTCCTAGAATATTTGTATATTTTAAATACTTGTAAAAATACTAAAGTTTGCTAAAATACTTTCGCACAAGCTGTGCTAAAAAACAATTTAAATTGAAATTAATTATGCCTATTTATTTGATTTATTTATTGATCCTTTATTGTACACACTGATAGTACATAAAAATATGACAGAGTTAAGTAAATGTACAAAGGAGAGCTTAACTCTAAAAGAGTTCTCTTTCAGCAAACCTAAAGTGAAGTGAACATCAATGTCGGCGGGTAAAGCGATGTACAATAATGTGACAATTTTCAAACAAAAAAGAACTGGACTTAAGACACATAGCTAATTATATCAAATTGAAGCTAATAATATTAAAACACGAATATATTTGTTGAATAAATAAAGTTTTTTTTTTTATTATTATTATTATTGTCACAATTTTCTTTAAGGGCGAAATTAAATAGTATTTTTTTATGCAACTTAAAATAGCGAACAAGCTGACGACTCACCTGATGAAAAGTGATAACCGTCGCCTATGAACATGCACAGTATCATTTACAAACATCTTCTTATTCTTTGTAATCAACCTGTATAATTATCGAATCGTAATAGTAATCAGGATTACATTCGTAAGGCAGTCGTTCTTCTTATCAGCTAACACATGGAACATTACAGTTATTTCATCAACAAACAATGACTAAACATTATTCGTGATATGTCCCATTCAGAAATTGCATCACACGTGGCTATACCTTATTTTTAAATGACTTGAAGAATAAAGAGATAACCGTCGGTTATTTAAGAATACCGTGGGCTTCACTTTTACCTTTACCATACCTGATTACTGACATATTCTGTGGCTTGCATCAGAAATTTAATTGGCTATCTAAGATACAAAACACCGGCTTCATCTGAAATATAATCTCTTACGGACAAGCTCCGAACATATTATTAAAATTAATATAAAAAATTATGTTTTTGCACAGTAGTGGAACACTTAAAAAGAAAAGCCTTTTAAAATACCGCTCAATGAAATAATGCAAAAAAAATTTTGATGTAACTACAATTTTACGGTTTTCGGATTTTTCTTTTTTACTTGAGCTATACAACATTGCTTTTTGTCCAATTTCATAATACTAGGTTAATGGCAAGTGCCCTATAAATTTATTCTCATGCAAATGTCAAAATACATGCGGCTGTATTTTTGATTGTTTTGACTTACAATTCTGATTTTTCATAGCTTCAATGAATTGTAGACTTGAGATGTCGTATTAATTTCAGCTTGATACCTCCGTGCGTTTCTTAAAAAAAGTGTCTTGATGGACAGACAGACGAACAGCAAATGCTCCTATTAAGGTTCAGTTTTTCCGTTTGAGGTACGGACCCTTAAAAATGATAGTGCAAGAACAACAAAGTGAAAATTTGTGCAAAATTTTATGACCTTTATTCGATTTCATTTTGAACCCAATTCGATGTTGTCAAAGGTCACCTTGCAGAATATTCAAAAGTTAAAAAGTCTTTATACGAAAATAATAACTTAATTCCTATTTTGGCCTTTACATTTCTTTTATATACTGCAATTTTCTGTTTGACTATAAATATTTGTATTTATTTATTTATACTCCTGCAAGACTTCCTTTTTGTAATGGTTAAAAGATAAAAAATTTAGAACATCAATTTTAATATCATTGGTAAGGTTTCAACTCCGATTTATTGTAATTTACATACTATACATTTTCAAGTATCTTAATAATAAAATTGTAACTAAACAAACTTTGTACATGGGAGATATCGAAGAAAAATTAATATGAGGAGTCTCAATAAGAGCAGTAGAAACAAATACAATGATTTTTGGAAATTTTGTCTCTCTATCTGTCTATCTGTATGTATGATCGTTCCGTATCATGCACGACTGTACCAAATTGAATGCTATTTTCACCTGTTATACTCCTAAAGTCTTAACTTAAAACTGGTTCATGTTCTATCTTGATAAGCCATCTAGAAGAGATCAATTTTATTAGTTTTTCTTTTTTCACAGACAAAAATATAGTTAAAAATAAAAATGTTCACAATTGTAATCCCTAATGTCAGGTGTATTTTGTATTTGTATAGTCAGGGGTATTTGTCTACTGTAATGTTGTTGTAAACGTACATCTCGACGGGTCCATAGTCCAGACACCATCGCCATTCAAATAAAATCGCTGACAATATTATATTAGTCATTCATTGTCTATTTTCGAATATTATTATCTACAATTGATATGGAATGAAGATTATTAGCTTAAACATATCCTATTGCAGGTACGATGAAGGTCGAGGTTCGCGAACACGCAATGGACCACCCGACACCGAAACGGAATACAACTCAGATAGCCCTACGCGAAATCCCCGCCGCCGTCGTAGATATTCTAGGCATTCTGGTAAGATTTGTTAAAAAGTACATTGGTATAAATATATATAGAATAAATAAAATAGAAATAGATACTTTTCCTGAATAAAACAATCTATGAAATAAAGCTTTATGGCAAAACTATTGTACGTGGTTATTTAATCTCTAAACCAAACAACTCACGCTCTTGTTTACATTAGCAGTAATGTATATAATTTAAGTGCTATTTATATATTTATTTTCAGGTCCTAGTTCAGGATCAGGATGCTCCTTAGAATCGGATAAATGAAAACAACATCACATGATATAGGTTCTTAATAATGCAATATAATGATCTAAAGTGTACATTAGAATTGAGGCCAAACTGTAATTTAGTTGGTGTTAGATAGCTTGTAATAATTTTAATCAAAATTTGATTTATGGTGCAAAAGTAGATGACAGTAAAATATTGAAAAATAATATAAATCATATAATGATAAAATAGTAACTTGTGCTCTGAACAGCACTTTATACTTTGGCGTATTAAAGATTGTTTTCCAAAGCCTGGCCTGGCATTCTCTGGCCCCTTAAAAAGACATGTACTCTTAGACATGTCTTTGCGGATAGTTCTGGGGTGGATACATTCCCCACCCCCTTTAATACGCCTATGATTGTAAGGTAGAGAGTAAGTCGTGACTGAATATATTATTTATATATAATATATAAATAATTACCTAATAATTTCGTAACAAACATACGTAGGTGTACATTTTAATGTACAGCTATTGTCAATGTTGTAGTTATAACTGTTCTTGTATGTATAATATTTATTTCCAATCATCTTCAATATGTATAGCTTATGAAATTATATAATAACAATATTTTAATTTATTTTTTTATTGTACTATATTCCTCAATTCATCCATTTTTTTATCCTTCATTTTATATTTAAAGTGAATTTAATACTCCCTCATATTTTACTTAAATAAATAACTGTAAAAAGCATAGTCTTACAATTATGTAATCACTCCTTTCCTAAATAAAGTAAAAATTCATAGTTACTTATGCATTCAGTTTGAGCGCCGAAACCTATGTAGTTCTCCAGCCTTACTAAACTGCCGTACAAAAATACTAAAAATATAATAGCATATCTAACTAGAACCTAATAATTAATACATAATCATTACAATCAGTGTTCATTCTTAAAAACCCCGTATATGTCGCTAGAGCCCTTTGTTAAAACAATAACATATATTTCATTTATTTTATTTTATCTAATTTAATAATTGTATATATTTTATATTCGAAACAACTACAGGAAACCGTTTTATTTAAAAATGCATTTATAATAATACTTTGGAATAAACCAAAGAACAATATATTTTTTCTGCTCTACTCTTGTACCTGATTATTTTGTATTATTTAACAATTTTCGCCGATACATAAAAATCACTGTTCCTATACAATTACGCCTTTGAATTGGATAAATTTAATGACACAAAATTAGAAGATGTACTTAGTATTATAATGCCATTGAATTTATGACTTGTTGTAACATAAACACTATCAAATATAATTGTAAAATCATGTCAAGATCAATCTGTCAGTTTATGTTCATTCTCTTCTGATACAAAATGTACTTATTTATTTATGAATATTCTAGTAAGGCCACTTTCAATTCTCCTCTGTTTTGTGACTATTGATATTATTATATACATGTGATTCTATAAATTATATTCAATAGTGTGACAAGGCCTTAATTAGTGAACTACAACATAAGCAATAATAATAGTATTGAATTTCACAATTATCTGTCATTGATTGCACTTTTTAATTTATTAATTATTTGTTAATAGTCATTTAAATGTAATATATTAGGTATGATTTCAAATAAATAATTTTATCTACATTATTAATGTATTTTATTATTATATTACTTAAGCTTGCTAATTATTATATTTATAATGAAATTATATGTTTGTACATGGGAGATTTAAAATATATATATATATATATATATATATATATATATATAAGATGTTTATAAAAAGCACGAAATTATGCGGTTTTCACTATTATGTTCCTAAAGATACTTTAAAACTGGTTACTTGTAATGAAGAATTTCTATTTCATTACTTTCCTACTTCTGAAAACCACGCTTACGAAGTATGTAGTACGAACTTAATTGTGTGTTATTTAGTTCTTAACATTAGTCATATATTTTGTAAATGGGAACAAATATAGATACAGATAGACAAAAATTCTACAAAATATTTATTATATATTATTATTTAAACATATTAGTAGCCTTCATGTATTTTTTTTTCGTAAATATCTATGTATAGCCATCGTAGTTTTATTGATCTTTGAACCAATCGATTACTTTCGAAATTTTGATTTGATACTTTAGAAATTTAAAACTTGTCAAACTAGAATCCATAATAATGTGGTATCCAATAGTGATACTACATTACAATAAATAGTCTATTTATTGTAACCTGGTATTGTAGCTTTTAAAAAAAAAATACCTATTGGTATAATTTTTGAAGCTCAACTAAATTGATAATATTTTAGTTTTATAAATTTTATATGAGTTTTTAGCACAAAATGCTGTGACAGACAGACCGACAAATTCGCAACGTAATGATTCCCTTACAACATTTTAGTGCGAAATAAAATATAGTATTTTTTTTATAAAATACTACCCGTTTCCCGCCTTCGCCCACATGAATGAGCATATAATAATGTTTGGAAAAATTGTAAAAATAACAAATCCTTTTTTACGATATAAAGTATCCTATATGTTAAATTAGGATACAATCTACTCGTGTAACAAATTTTATTCAAGTTTGTTGATTCGTTTAAGTGTGATTGTGTAATAAACATCCAAATGAAAAATAAATAAATAACTTTCAAAAAAATTTCTTATTGCCAGGGTCAAAAATTATTTCAGATTTTACGTAAAGAAAATATACCGGTTATTCTTGTTGAGTGCGTGATCAGTGACCGCATTTAATTATTTTTAAAAGACCCTGTATAACTATGTACTTAACATAGTTCCAATGATTTTAAACATTTTTTGACTTCATATTATACTTAAGGCAATACAGTTCATTGTTCCGTATGATAACCTTTTTGTTTACATTTTTGATCTCGAGTTATACAAACTCACTTTGACATCTAAATAATATTATAAAGATTTAATTATTATTTGTTTTAGATAAGCTTAAAAATACTGAACCTAATTTATACATTCTTTCTTAGACTATGAATGATATTTAACAATAAAACAATGTTTTACATATATGAAAATAATTTATTATGTTTCTTGCATATGTACTAAAATTGTACATCACATAATATTTGTATATATTTGCATTGAATATTATTCTATATTTTATTAGCTGTCTATTAAACTTAAAGCACCTGAGTGCTAAAACATATAAATGTATGTAAATACGCACCAATTTCACCTACACCAATAATTTACTAAGGTACAACGTTCCAAGGTACGAAGCTATCTGGATCAGGGATATCGAGCTGAAAGAAAAAAAAAACTAAGATTGCTTCCTACATTGCTAGATATATAATTACTAATAATTTATTAGATTCTTTTAACAGTACTTGAGTGATTTTGTCCATTGATACATCTAGGTACTACGTCTATAATAATCCTTGAAAGTTGTAAGTTTGCGTGTGGCTAATAGCAAAGACTGTGTATCCATTTAAATTTCTGACAAAATTTCCGGTGATGGGAAAACACCAGAAAGAAACCAAATTAATCCGAGCGCGGCGGTAGATTCGCCTACTCGTTTAGATTCTAGTATCCTTCGTTAGCAAAATGTAAGCATGTTGAGTATCAGTTTACTATAACTTCAACAGTCTACAAATACCTCTAATCTAGAGGGAAAGGAATTGCAAGTAATGAGAATCTAACAGTCCTATTGTTAGTAATATCCCCTCCTACGAAATTCCTTCATGCAACTGCCTTAGTTAATTCTTTTTAAATCCGTCATACGGGCCAACTGATCTGTTACGTCCTCACCTAACAGCTCTCACTGGTGCTCCACCAGCGTATACCGATTCCACAGGCGGAGTAACCATTCCATTACCACCCATTAAAAAAAAAAAAAAACTAATCTAATCCTTTTCTAATTATGGTCTCGATAATATTTTTTTAAAATAACAATTTCTCGTGGCCAACATTGATGCTATATTTCTAATAAATTATTGGATAATTTTAGTTGCGTACTTAATATATCAGGATATCACAATTGGTAGTTTTATACTTACTTTCTTAGTGATATGATCCTCGCAGGCCATGCGTATCCTTGCAGAGGTAGCTGGTGACTCCAAGTAGAAGTCCAAAGGCATGCCAGCGTCAGCGCGTGCTGCACGTATCGCTTCTTTTATTGCAAAATAAATTGTAGATGCTAGGAACAGCGGTGGTTCGCCCACAGCCTGTAAAAAATATTGCTGTATTAGAAAAACCACAAGAGTCTCCAGAGTATATATGCAGTAGACAGAAAGAAGTTTGAAAAATTTAACAAGTAGTTTGGATGAATAAAGAGCAAATAACAATTTTCTCTTTATTATTAAATCTTAGTGTTTCACCGATTTAGAAGCGAAGTGGCAAAATAAAGGGTGATCCTTGTCGGTCTGCATTAATAAAATATAATATATAAAATTTCTAACGCAAACAATTTTGTACATTTCTTTATATCGTTTGTTTCTATAGCGCTCTAATTCCGATAAAAGATAAATATTATAGAGTTATAAAGCTATAGAAGATAAAGAAATCTATTACAATGTACTAAAATGTTTTTCTTATCAGCGCATTCTTGTAAACATAGATCCTCTTTATATTTCGCCAGGTATAGAATTCACTCGCTTTTATTTTACGAGATCGGCCATTATTATATATTGCGCTAATCCTCCTTTAAATTAAGGTAAGGTATAAGGATACTCACCTTCGATGAATAAACAGCTCGTGGATTTGGAGCACCTTTTAATAGAGATACATTAAATTCTTGCGGAATATCCCCAAAACCAGGTATTTTATAAGCACCAGGCCCTCGAGAATACAGCGTACCAATTGGAGAATAAATCAACTCTTCCAGTGTAAATAAGCCGTAGCCTTGGATGAAAGCACCTTCGACCTGTCCAATATCTATTGCTGGATTTAAACTTGCTCCCAAATCCATAACAATATCAGTTCTTATAACTTTATGATCACCACTGAGACAATCAATTTCAACCTCACTGCACCCAACCCCAAATGTGTAATAATTGAATGCCCTTCCTGTATTCGTTTTCCAATCATATCCAATGTCAGGAGTTGCGTAAAAGCCAGTAGCGGAAAGACTCACTCGGTCAACGTATGCTGCCGAAACCCACTGTTCCCATTTTCCTTTAGGATTCTTCTCTTTATAAGGTTGAAGCCTTTTCACCAAAGTCTCACAAGCTTGTAAAACGGCCATACCATTTAAGTCGGAGCCGGAGCTAGCCGCTGTAGCAGAGGTATTGGGAACTTTGTCGGTTGCAGTCTCACTAATATGAATTTTAGATATATCGATACCTAGAGTTCGTGAAGCTACTTGTATCATTTTCGTATGAAGACCTTGACCCATTTCAGTTCCTCCATGAGATATAAGAACTGAACCATCTATATAAATTAATACTAGAGCCCCTGCTTGATTTAATAATTTCTCTGTAAAAGCTATTCCGAACATCGTAGGAACAATGGATATACCACGTTTTCTCCATCGATGCTCTCTGAAATTAAAGTATTTTGTTATTTACAAAATTACATTATTTACATATATAAAAACTATTTCACATAGTTTCAAGTTTCATACTCTAATGCAATATTCATATAAATTAATGGTCACAATAATTATTATAAGACGTAATCACATTAATACCTTAACAAAATAGCTATTAGTCTTATTGCTAATTATTATTGCTATTATTAATCTTTGGAATGTCATTTTTAATGTAACTGTGACAAAGTACTGAGATTTTTACATATTATTATAGTTAAGAATAAAAGTTTTCCATTTACATACTTATTAAACTTTTCAATACTTATTTTTCGTGCCGCTAAATCACTTTTTTGAACGCATTCATCCCAACATTTTTGCAAAGTGCAATGTGTTAGAGTTTGGCCAAAATGAGTAGATAAATTTTCTTGATATAAATTAAGTCTACTAAGTTCCTCAACATTTTTACCAAGTTTACAAGCTACATCTCGTATCATATTTTCTGCACCAAACATTCCTTGCGGTCCACCAAATCCTCTGAATGCTGTATTCGATGGCAAATTGGTTCTACAAACGTGACCAACTACCTCCACATTTGGTATATAGTAAGCGTTTGAAAAATGAAACATAGCTCTTTCTACAACCTAGAAGGAAAAAATAAAACTTGTATATTTTTTGTTAATACCTAGATGTAAATATTATTTAAGAGATATATCTCTTCAAATAATATTTATATTAATAAGTCGATTTTAACATCAGCACAACCTGTGAATAAAATATACTCATAGGTATACTTACAGCTCCAGATAAGTCAATAGAATACCCAGCGTTGTTGTAAATATCGACTTTGGCACCCATTAGCTTTCCTTCTTTGGTCGCAGCTACTTTATATTTGATCAAAAACGGATGACGTGTACCTGTCATCTGCATATCTTCATCACGATCAAGCATACATCGCACTGGTCTATTAAGTCTATGTGCAGCAAGAGCAACAGGTAAGGCTACTAATAGGCCTCTAGACTCTTTGCCTCCAAATCCACCACCTAACCGCTTTACCCGAGCAACAATCCTATTTATAGGTACATTTAGCACATGGGCAGCTAGTTTCTGTAACAAAGTATCTTTTTTTAAATTTATACATTCTAATAACTCTAACAGATTATAAAACTCCCGCAGTTATGCGCCCATATTTATATAAAACTCATTTTTACTAATAAATTAAAAGAACTACGTTTGACAATTTGAAATGACACATACTGCTATTTCTGAAGGATGTTGACTAGAACAAAAGATCTCTATCTCGTCGTCCTCTTTTTTCGGATTTGCAAATGCAACATTTGTCTCGAAATAAAAATGTTCTTGACCACCCATGCGACACTGTCCTTCAATAATTATGTTATTTATATCTGTAAAAGCGGCTGTAACATCCCCTTTTCTCATTGTTTTAGGATATTGCGGATAAAATGAGTTATGTTTTATGGCGTCTTCAATGCTAACAATGATAGGTTGAATTTCTTCATATTCAACTTTTACTTTTCTAGCAGCAGACTGAGCTGTTGCCTGATCTTGAGCTACTATAACACCTATAGTTTGTCCTTGACTAACTACTTTTTCTCTAGCAAAAAGTTCTTCGTCGTGATATATTGGTCCAATCGTATTTTGATGAGTCGTTATATCCTTGGCGGAAAAGAAAGCAACAACTCCAGTTTCCTTTAACGCTTTTGATGGATCTATAGATATCAACTTTGCGTGTGCTTTTGTACTGAGAACAAATGCTAAATACAATTCGTTTTCAGCAACAGGCATATCATCACAATAAATAGCTTCGCCAGTCGCTTGTTTTAATGCCGACATATGCTGTATTGGTCGTCCTACTGCATCACTCTTAATCTGTTTTTCTTCTACTAAATCGAAATACTGAGAGCTTTTTGGTATACTTCCATGAAACTGTTCTGCTCCACTACTGTGAAAAGGTTTAATGAGCTCTTTATGTAAATAGTCCTTTGACATTTGCTGAGCTATTGCTAAATAGGCTTTTAAAAATAAACTCATTGTTAATGTTCGCCTAAATAGAACATTCCCTCCCGGTGCAGAAGGACTTAATGGTAACTCTTCTAACATATGTGCATATGCTTTTTCAAGCATTTCTTCGGACCATTTCTCTCCAATTAATGACTGACTAGTCTTGGACGCAATTTTTGTCACTGGTGCCATACCACCAAAAGCAATGTTAATATTTTTTATGATATTCGTGTAATCTTCAAATGTTATATTAATTGCAGCAGTAACAATAGAAATGTCATCTTCACGTCTTTTAGCTTGTTTGTAGGCTTTTACATATTGATATCTTTTTGAATAAGGAATCTCAATAGACAGTAAAATTTCATCTGGCTTTACTACATTTTTACGATACCCAGTAAAAAATGTTTCATCCATTAGAACGGAACGAAATTCTCCTTGCTTACTCAAAAGATTAAGCTTAACTTTTAACGACATTAAAATCGGGTTCAAGTCCGAAATAGGACTACCAGTCATAATATTGCCGCCTATAGACGCCACATTACGTATTTGTTTGCCTGCAAACCAATTTAACATATCTCTTATTGTAACGAGTGTTCTTGTCTGATATTGTGGCAATTGTTTAATATACTTATTAAAAACATTATCCATTTCCATAAGTGTCACTGAAGCGCCAACTGTTAAACCTGTTTCATTTTCCACAACTTCATTCATTTCAGGAATACAGTTGGGCATGATTATTGTAGGATAAACACAATGTTTAAATTTAACCTCAACCCCTACTTCTGTATTCCCTACAACTATTTTGGCATCCTTGTGTCTCTCTTTTAGCTCCAATATTGTACTTAATTTAGTTGGACGGTACCATGTACTCTGTTGTCCTTTGAATATAAGATATTGATTGTCGTAAATATCCGATAATTTTAATTCAGGCGGAAATATAGGTTCTTGACTAGAATCATAAGGCAAAAATGATGATCTATCAAAAATATGTTGCGTTTCACTTTCTTCATTGTTCCTACTTGTTTTATTTTTACAACAGTCTTTACCCATAGCACACATTGGAGGTTGATTACCATTCTCTGCACCATTACAATTTGATATACCGTTAGTGATTCGCTGTGATTCCCAATCTTCGATAAACGTTTTATATCCTTCTATAATGGCTCGGTAACCTGTACATCTACATAGATTGCCTTGAAACGCAACTTCTATGTCAGAGTATTTAATATGTTTACAACTTCTAAGTAGACTGTACATGGACATAACAATTCCTGGCGTGCAAAAACCACATTGTGAACCGTGCGCTTTTGCAATCCGTTCTTGTACAGGATGTAGTTTTGTTTTCGTTGACCCAATGCCTTCAACCGTCGTTACTGCCAAACCGTGCATTGAACAAACTGGCGCCAAACAGGCATTTACTGCCAGATGACTGAACAAATACATTAAGAATAATTACTTAATAATTATTGTGTTCGTAACTATTACTAGAGGCTAAGATATCAGCAGTGGAAATTATTAGAGTGTTTGTCAAATCAATAAAATAATTTAAGATCGTGTTCCACAAAATAAAACTGATCTCAATTGTGGCAAAAACAGTTATTTTGATTTCAAAACTAAACAATTGTACCGACTTTGATAAAATTTCTATGGGACCAATCTAAAAGTATATCCTTTCAAATAAAAAAAAATCCAAAATAGTTTATAACTAACGGAGTAAGGAGGCAAAAAAACATAAAAAAATACAACTGAATTGAGAATCTTCTTCTTTTTTAAATCGACTGAAAAAGTTCATAATTCATAGTCGCATCAATCGCATGGCCCTCAATCTATAATACCTGTATTATAAGGAACTAAGTAATGAATACAACCCAGAATATCTAGACCTGAAGCCAATTTAAAAAAGTTCATTTACAAATTAACTCGACCGAGAAGCGAACTCAGAGACTCATTATGCAAAGTATCTACAGCTATACAGTTTTGATGATTTTTATTTTTCTAATAAAATTTTTAATCTTCCCAAAATTTATTATTTTCTAACATTTACTGAAAATATCACTGATTAAAATATGAAATTACTGAAATAAAACTAAGAATTGAAAATTATAAAAGTAGATATATCCATATGTTCATCAACATGAAGCGATACTAATTTTTCTTAAAAATCAATTACTAAGTTAAATATTTTAGAGAAGTAGTTGCATCCGTTGCATTGCATAGTACAAATAGGTAGGTGCATTTGTTTTAAAGGATACATGACTTTTTTTTCTTTTCGGTTGTACTTGGATACCATGACAGTGCAAGCTCCACAGCCTCCTTCTGCGCAGCCTAACTTGGTGCCAGTCAAACGAAGCTTTTTCCTTAAATACCATAGAAGCGTCCAGTCTGGATCTGGATGTGGTTCTATTACCTGAAATTATTAGAAATGAGATTTATTTAAATGTTTGGATTAAAATCGTAAGGAAACAGGTTATTTCATAAATATGTATATTTATTATTTAGTATTTACTTAAATTATTAAATTATTTTTAAATTATTTTGAGTGAAAATGAGAGTGCCGTAGCCTAGTATTAAATGGCATACTGCTCCGACTTATACATCGCGAGGGTCTAAAATTCTAGAGTTTAAAGCACCAAAAATTTTTTTGTGTGTCATTTCAAATTTTCGACTAACTTTTGTGTAATGAGAAAATAGCTATAACGAACCAAATTCATCTTAATAACGATGGCATACTCATTTACTGCAACGTTAAATACTAATATTCATGGTGAGGGGAAAAGAGAAGTTAGTAATGGAGTTTATCAATCCCATTGCTAGCAATACACCCTACCGATTCGACTTCCACGCGATCGTGGTTAATTCTAGTTGAATTTGTCGCAATGTGCTAACTGACTTGCTTTCATCATCACCTATCATCCCCATCGGTGTCCCACCAACGTATACGGATAACGTAGATGGAATTATCATTCTATTAACACCCATAAAAAAAATACCTTATTAGATTGACCTCTACGCGGTTCCCCCTGGAAACCGTCGTGATTAATTTATTGTTGAATTGCCTGCTGCCAACTGACCTGCTTCGTCATTATCTATCATCCCTAACTGGTACCTCGCCAATATATACCGATAGCGCAAATGGCGTAACCATTCCATTATCATCCATAAAAAAAATACGCTCAGCGAAATGAGGGCATATCGAGTGTTACACATATAGATATAATGATACGCTTTACGTGAACATTTCCCATTTCTTCATGGAGTTACGCACCTACCATAAATATACTGCAATTTTATCCGAGCACCACTGATTAACAATGTCCTGATTCAATTACTTTACAATCGGTAAACAGGTCACTTCAACTGATAGTATGACACGGTCATACGAGTATATTAAGCACAATATGACATTACAATCTGTTACTACATAAATACAAATAAAATTCGTTGTTATTCTACCAATAAAATGGTGTAACAAAAAGATTAGGAGCAAACTTGCAGCAACTGATGGTAAGTATATCTATGATATCTTTAATTTATAATATCTTACTAATCCTTATTATGATATTAGAAATCCATTCTCACCAATATTACGAGTATAATTGTGGAAATGAGTTTGTTTATTATCTCTTGGCATTTTAATGGTTCAACCAGTAGTCAAGCATATACGGAGTATTGTGTTATAAAAACTTTACTGTACATTGGACTGAAGATTTAATATATAGTACAATAATTTAGGGAATATTTAAGATTACAAAAGACTGGACTACCATTATCGCAGTTAACATATAATATGCTGGGCACGCAAGTAACGAGTAAAAAGTAGAATTAATATATATGGATGAATAACAATATAATGGAATAAATTTAAATAAATGAAAACAGAATGACGGCGAATAAAGATTCTTTAACCACTTAACATTAATACAAAGTGGAAAAACTATGATAGATTAACTATCTAATCGGTACTACATATTATTTTCACGAAAATTTGCAACAGAAGCTAGAAATCGGTATTGGAATACTATCAATAAATGCTATAATAAATTTTAGTCTGTTTGTTACGTTATCACAATAAAATGAAACTGTATATCAATGTAATTTTATGATTGCTTAGGTAATATTCAACTTGCAAACTAGTAATTATGTTTTATCAGAAACATTCGTGTGTATTATGAGATACAATTGACCCGTCCACTATATGAAATCGCATGTAAACCTTATTCGAAGATCGAAAACTTAAAATTTTGATAATGAATCTTCATACCTACGAGTATAATGTGCAAAAACAAAGAGAATGTTTCAATATTTCCCATAGGAACAGGAACCAATAATGACATCACAAGCAGAGTCACGATAAACAAATAGGTACATATACTAAAGAATATAGATATAATCTTAATCCTAATAATCCTATAAAAATACGTAAAAATGTTGTAATGTTTGCTACTCAATCGCGCATAGGTAAACGACTAATTTACTATAAATTAAGTCATATATATTATATGACACTAAAAAAAACTTATCCGTTTCGGCTTTGCACCGGTAGATAGAATTTTAAAATTGCATAAATATTTTTTGAGTGCATCTATTATGAACAAAAAAAATCTTATTCTTTATAATATTAAGTTAGATACAAACTGTCTACGACCTGCCTGATAATAATCATTTACCCGTAATCTGTCCTACCTCAAGTAGACCTACAACGTTCATTGTAATCTTATGTACAGATAAAAATATTCCGCTGTATTGAAATTCTCTTAACATTCATTTAAAAGTTTATTAAATGTGTATAATATACTACTATATACTGGTGCAATAAATAAAAGTGTTAACAAATATTATAACAAACACTGGGTTAACAAGTCATTACATAGAGATGGCCTCTTATCTGCGCACTAGAAAATAACATTCTTGATATCCCTTCAACCAAATTGATAAACTTGACATCTTCTAGTTACTTTATGTTATATTTTTCTATATATAACCGATACTGGATGTCGGAAATTGACGAATATAATGTGTTTACCGTTTCGGGTATTAAAATTGGACATAAGTTTTAAAAAATAATATACAACCTTATTAGACGAACATAATTATTCTTCTGCGCTATAGTCACGGTAAAGTCACGGTAGAGTCAAACAATTTTGTACGGTGCGTGGCATTTTGCCAATTTTCAAAAAAATTGAATTATTAATTTTTAAACTATTCAATTCGCCTATCTTTAGCGTGTAAGTTACGCGGTAACTTCAACGACTCTAAACTGATTTTGATAATTATTTTGCAATCCATAGAGTCCATCACCTGGTATTTATTCTACTTGTATTAGTTCAAGTTTACTCCCATGTTTATCGGAAATTTTGGTTATATACTAAGACTAGATGTTAATTCTATATTTACAACAATTAGTGGATCTTAATTGTCCTAAATCACCTAATTTAGATAAATATACAAATGCTAAGAACTTGTAAGTGATAAGTTCTTCGTAATTATTACGTTATTTGACCTATCCAGACAAACCGGAACTCTGCATGCATTTCAGAATAATTTTCGGCTTATAACATATCAACAGAATCTTTTTATATTAACAATTGTTTATAATCATAATATATATATATATATAGAAGGAAATATAGCAATAATACCGAACAACCGACATTCTTATGTACACACTTGCTAATGAATTTTACGCAGCACAATTATATCAAGGCTGTTTGACCACGCTTCACTAATTATGCGAACAACGTCGCAGAAAAAAGTTAGTAGCTAGATTAAAATATTATCTTCATAGTATAATGAATTTGCATACAGTACCTATAACATGCAAATTCAACGTCCAACCTATTCACATGTTTGCGATATCTCCTAGCGGGCAAGTTCGAAAAAATCTAGTATACATCTATAGATATACATATATGTACATATCATATTGATTTGTCAGTCAATTCTTATTATGATATTGCATTAAAATAGACAATACCTATAATCCATATGGTTATAAACCTACTATTTTATTATAATTAGAATAATTATGTAATAACTTACTTGCACATTAAAAAACGCTACAAATTCATTTAAAAAAATCTAGATTCTTAATAGTACCTCCATACGACTATATATTTATTTTTATTTACTGCATTTAAAAACTAAAACTACGCATTTTAAAAAATAAAATAATTTGAATACGTACCTTCTTTCCGTTAACATAGAATACCAATTCTGTACAGACATTATCGTCACAAACTTCATCCTCTGCATTCAATAATCCCATGATAATATATTAATTTTTATAAATTTTTAAATTATTTATCGTGTAATTATACTGTGTCCAGTATATACATATACACGTTCAATACTTTTGATAGCTCGAATGCCACTGACTGACACGACACCTCGAATAACTTGTTGAGGCCGATCAAGATATGTGACTTCGTAAACAAGAGTTTATCTACTTTTAAAGAAATTGAAGGCCAGAATTATCACTGTTTTATTGTATCACAATTAGTAATATTTCAATAAGCAATGATCGCACAAAAAACGTTGATGTATCTGTTTATTTGTATCTATGTTATGCATATGGCAACTGTAAATCTATATAATCAATCCTAAACAAATATATAGTAAGTAATAAAAAAATATTTTATGGGTAATTTAAAATACTGTAAATATTACATAAATATATACATATCTGTCACGCCTGTCTCCCTCTCCTCTCCCTACTGTAAATATTGTAATGATAAAAAGTATACTTTGTTCCAAATTTCATTCAAATAGGTTCAGCCCTTAAAGCGTTCATAAGTTTAGCTTACCGAAGTGTGGCAACGTCGCGATTATCTGTCAATTTTCAAAAACAATTTTCAGTATGTTTGATTGTTTAGTTAAAAAGTTCTCAGCTAGCGAACTAAAACGTTAATCATGCTCATACATCAGGGGGGCGGGAGTTTCCCGCCAGCTTGAGCATAGCCGTACCATCCCTTTCTCGCAACAACTCGCGGCACTTTTAACCTACCTTTGCGGCTATCGGCTACCAATAGCAGTCCGCAGCCGCTGGCCGAGGTAATTGGCCAAAATGAAATAGTAACTCCGTCTGCGCTATCGGTATACGCTGGCGGGACACCAGTCTGAGGTGATAGGTGATAATGAAAGCAGATTAGTTAGCCTATCGTGACTAATTGCACTAGAATTAACCACGATGGTTTCCAGGGGAAACCGCGTGGAAGTCGACCTGATAGGGTGTATTGTTAGCAATGGGGCAATTAGACTCCATTATTGACAATCCCTTTCCTCCCCGCTGGCCGAGGTAGCTGTTGCGGTTGGCAGTAACGATAGCGTATACTTATTGTTTAAATAGCTGCCCGGCTGCATTGCGTTGGATTCGATCCTCACCGCAGTAACAAATAAATTAAATAATCTAATATTCAATATTTTTTAATAAATTAATTTATTTTTTCTTGCAAAGAACTATGTTATAGTCATAATTACGAGTATATTTATTAATTAAAATGAATATTATCAAAATTCATTTTATAAATAAAAGTTAGCGACATCTATGGTCTATAAACTTAAACTTTGAGATGGTCTGTTCGTTATTGGTTGATACAGCTAAAGTTTCTTAACTCATTACATAGGTGGCACCACTATAAACAAAATTAAAAGAATATTTACTTATGGATAATACCTAACAATATTGTTTGTTGAATAAAAAAAATACAATCGCATTATCTAACAAATGTTGCTGCGTTGAAAATCAAACCCGATGTGGTACGGCTAGGCAGCTATTTAACTAAATAGCTAACGCTAAGCATCCTGCTATTAGGTTGATTATAATAAATCTTCCTATAGTAGCTGGTAGCCAAATAGCTGGCTATTTAGCCAGCTTTTACGTCATAAATAGCCAGGTAGTTAAGTTATTAAAATCTCAGCTAGTTACCCATCGCTAGACGTAATGCAGTGTTACCAATATTTATATTGCTTATTACCAGTGTTGTGTAACATCCATACTAGCTTTAAATGTATGGAATAATGATGAATAGATAATCCCTAGGTTATATACACTTTGCTTATTACTAGCGCGAAATTTAACCGAAATGCTACTTATTACTACGTTTACAATTTTCGTTTGCTATTGCTAGTTTGATAATTAAAAGACTTTCTTATTTATTTACTTATATAATATATACTATATAAAATTGATATTATTTGAATATTGTTTGTTTAATTTTAGAGTATAAATTCACTGATATTATTTGGATAATAAAAAAATAATATTTAATTTACTGATATATGTATGTCAGTAACTTATTTTTTAATAAAGTATACACTCTTAGTATATACGATATAAAATTGATATTTAAATATTGTTTAGATAATTTTAAGGCATAGATTTACAAATATTATTTCGTTAATATAAAATAATATTAGGTATTTAATTTACGATTTTATTTTGATTATGAATGGATAGATAAATGTTTGTTACTCTCATGCAAAAACTACTGAACAAAATTTTAATGAAACTTTACAAAGAATAAATTTATAATTATAAATTAATAAAGATATTGTGTTAACTAGCTGAAGTATAACTATAATTGTTAAGTAAGTCGACAAAAATCCTGCCATCAAAGAGTTATTTCGGCGTTCGCTGAATAAACCGTTCAAGTTATACGAAAATAATGTATTATATGATGAAATTCTTTATCTTACATAATTCTAAAAAAAAACTGTGATAGCATTTCCTTTAGGTGAAAACCAGTTTAATTAAGCTATAGCTTATCAAAATATTTAAATTGAATACTATATTTACAATACTCATTCATGGTGTTGTAAATTAATCCTTATCCAAGTAATTACTTTTATCGCTTTTATTATGTAAAATAGTTAAATTTTGTCTTTTACGGTAAGCAATTTGGATAAATAATTTAAAAATTATAATGATAATAATATAATAGAAGAACGTCTGTAAATGAAGATGCGTGGCACGTGACCTCAAAAAGCGCTCAAGAAACAAGGTACTTCCTTCCATTCGGCTGTCTTTCATCTAAATTAACGCGGATGAAGTCGCAGATATACCTAAGCTAGCATACATTTGCTGATATGTATTTATTGATATATACTGAACATCTTTACTAGTCCAGATAAAACTTGACTGGAGTAACTTCAAAATTTAAAATTATTAATAAAACTTATGCAATCAAAATTGACCGTGCCAACGTTGAATCAACGATAATCAAAATGTTTATTATATCTAGATAGAAAAAAAAAAAAACAAAGATAGGGATAATAACGGAACATTGCCCATTAAACAAACATTTATACAACAACTTATTATAACAACAGGAGACACAGACAGCCCTAGATTTTTTTTATACAACTTAAAATGGCAAACAAGCTGACGGCCCACCTGATTAAAAGGTAACCGTCGCCTATAGACATGAGCAGTACCATGGACATAACAGAATATACTGTTTCGGCCATGATACCCTCCATGCGTTGCCATTCCTGAGGACTCAGGTGTTATTCCTCTGTACCCTGTAAATTCACTCTTCATATTATATATCCCACTCTTCACACCGAAACACAGCCATGCAAACACAACTGCTTTACGGTTGAAACACGAATAGGACAGAGGTACCCAAGCAAACGACATTTGTACAAATTTTCCTCTGGTAATATTTATGTTTTGCTGTTGTGCTTATTTTATTAAGTACTTATATTAAATGTAGATTTTTACGATCCATTTTAATGCGCAAAACATGTTTTTTATCAAAGTATTACACGCAATTCATTAATTATTAGTACATTCAACGCACTGTTAATGATTAAAATGATTATTATTCCTGCGTAATTTAAATCCTCGAAACAGTGAGGCCGCTCCTCTGAGGTCTGTGAAGGTTCCAGGAAGCTTCTGTACTTCTGGGCGAAGCCGAGCTGGCACACTAGCCTCGATTCGTACGCACAATGGCCCAAATGAGCTTCCCAAATAAGCGCAGAAAATAGAGTCCAATATACATTACATTGGGGGGAAAGGGATTGTTAGTAATGGAGTTTGACATCCCCATTGCTAGTAATATGCCCTATTAGGTCGACCTCCACGTGGTTTCCCCTGGAAACCATCGTGAACAATTCTTGTTGAATTCGTCACGATGGGCTTGCTTCATACCACAAGCACGATACCTGCTTCATCCTCATCTATCATTCTTCACTGGTGCCCCGCCGGTGTATACCGATAGCGCGGGTGGGAATACCATTCCATTACCACACATTAAAAAAAATATATATATACATTACATTACTCTGTAATTATTTAGAACGTTTTTCATATAGGAATGTATATTTGTTATACAATTCAAAATGGCAAAGAAGCTCGCTGTCACCTAGTGAAATTTGATAAATGTCGCTTATACTCGTGCTATATCATAATCCTTACCAGAGGCAGTGTTATTTATATATTATTATATCTGTTATTAGCGTATTTTTTTTTTGTAGTTAAAATAATTTTTTCTCACCTAATTGTTATACTATTATAAAGTCATCTGAGCCACACATAAAGTAAAACTTCACGTTTCTAACTCCACCAGTTGGGGGAAGAAGGGATTATTAGTAATGGGGATTGGTAGCCCCATTGCTAGCAATATACCCTGTCAAGTCGACCTTTCCGTGGTTCCCCTGGAAACCATCGTGATTGATTTATTGTTAGATTCGTCATGGTGGGCTAACTGACCTATCACTCCCCGCCAGAGTATACCGATAGCGCAGGCGGGGTTACCATTCCATTATCATCCATTAAAAAAAACTCCACCGGTGAAGTAAATTGTGAACTAGCAAACAGTTTTATTAAAATTATTATGATAATGACAAATATTTTATTTTACCAAAGTTTAAATTTTTCGTGTCAAATATATCACGTTTCTATAATGGCGTTTAATGCATGCGTAATTTTACCAAGCTTATGACAACATCTACTTTATACGAGCTTGTATATTGTAAACATAAAGTCAAACGACAATACATACGTAAGATCTTGTTTTATAAATAAATGCATATAAATTAATTAGTTATGTAGATATTTTATCACAACGCCGACCGTTTTTCAAGTAATTGAAGGCAAATATAAAGTTTTACAAAGAAAAGAATTGTCATGCGTTTCAAGGCGTATTTCATTATTTTATAGCGTTATCAAAATAATTTGTATGTCAATGTTATAAAAAACTTAATGGAGATTATATGTCTTTGACAGTTTTCGAATTTTAATACTTTTTGTAAAAAAAAAAGTTGTTAGAGAAAAGCATTTAGGGTAAAAGGAGAAGGAGGTACGGAGAAGCTGGCATCAGGCAAAATCGTATTCAGCAGGGCCCAAGTACCCCAAAATGTACTCTAAAAAGTACCGATGCCAAAAAGTTTCACAAAATGTCATAAGAATAAAATTTTTCCGATGCTTCCCTTGGTCTACTACTCATTTAACTTTGGATTACTAATTTCAAATTCCAAATTAATGAGCAAGATCTATGAACAAGGATTATCAAATTCGAAACTAGTTAGACAATCTCCATGACATACCTCAATAAATAATTATAATAATGCAAGCATGAAAAATAAACGACAGACGAACTTACATTTCAAATATAAGTTTGAGGTATGAAAATCCATAGAAATCAGATTTACAGAGAAGAAGAAACTGCAGTGATATGTAGGAAATAAGAAACGTTGTTTTATAAATCAGTATATATTAATTTTAATTGAAATACAATTAAAGTACATTAAAACCGATTAAATATTGAAATATGGTTAAAATAAAATTGAAGGCTTAATAATATTTTGAATAAACAATCTGCAACTAATTCCTACGCAACGACGTTCCACTGCTGACCTTCTTTACTTATAGTCGGTTTCACCTGAAACTCAAAATAATAATTTGAGAATTAAATTTTAAAGAAATGAGTTTATTTATTTTTACTACCTATTTGGCCTTAACGAGTGCAAGGGTAATATACCCTGTCAAGTCGACTTCCAGATGGTTCTCCTTAAATTTTTTTATGTTTAATTCCTGATTTGTCACAATTGGTCCACTGACCTGACTTCATCCTCACCTATATCTATACTCCTACCATATTATTTATATTCACTGGTATTGTAATACCACACACTGAGTTAGTATTGCAATTAAATGAATTAAGAAAAATTAAGAGTGTGGTTAATTCAAGTTTATGAATAGTAATTAATATTATGCTTTTCAAACAGTATTCGACCACAGAAACTTATAGAACAATTTCCCAAGCAACATGGATAGAAAAACAATAAAAGATGTTGACCCTCCCATAGAAACACGGTGCATCTGGCTGTTAAGTTGGTATCTGTGGAAAGCATAAAATTGTATGTCAAATTTCGATACAGGTTTCAATTGAAGTAATAAAATTGTACCTTTTCGGTGAACTCATCTTCACATGCCATTCTTATCCGTTCACAAGTGGCTGGTGCGTGGAGCACAAAATCTGGTTTCACACCAGCATCGATTCGCGCAGATTTAATTGCTTCCTTTATAGCAAAAAATACTGACGCAGCCAAAAAGAGAGGTGGTTCTCCCACAGCCTGGAAAATAAATATAAGTGAATGAACCATGTACGTAAAAATTACAAAAATTAGGTACACACTAATAATAGTTCTACTTTCCTCTAATACATATTATATACTAGATATTTTCCGCGGCTTTGCCCGCGTGCGTCAGTATATAAAGATTTTTGTGTTCGGATATAACCTACCCGTGTACCAATTTCATTCAAACCGATCAAGAATTTTAGCGTTATTGAAACAAAAACATCTAATCATCCAAACATCTTTACAAACTTTCACTTTTATAAAGGACTGGGCCACTAGTTCTTTATAACTTCTTCGACATCACACGTTATTTATTTATTTTTTTTAAATAAAATGCCGCCTATATAATATAAGTTTTTGTAAATGAAAGAATTTTAAAATTTAAAATTATTTTTTAATTAATCCACTATAAACAGACATACAAAAAAACTAAATCTTTCCTCTTTGTAATATTAGTTTATATTTAGATATAGACGTTAGTAAATATCTTCGGAGATGTATTACTTAATCTCTGAATAGCTTTTAATAAGTCGAAAATGGAATGGTAAGTATACTAGTAAGTAATAATAAATGAAGATGGTTTCTAGGAGGGACCGCGTGGGTAATGGGGTCCCATTACTGACAATCCCTCCCCCTCCCAAATGTGTAACTAGTTAGTCAGTAAACAACTAATTTTTAATATATATATATATATATATATATTTTACTTACCTTAGAAGAATAAACAGCTCGTGGGTTAGGTGCACCTTTAAGAAGTGAAACATTGAACTCTTTAGGTATATCGGAAAAGCCAGGAATTTTGTATGTTCCTGGTCCTTTCGATAAAATTTCACCAGTTGGCAAAAACAACATCTCCTCCATAGTAAAAAAACCATAGCCTTGCATGAACGCACCTTCTATTTGGCCTATATCGATAGCAGGATTTATACTTTCTCCTAAATCCATTACTATATCAGATCTTAACACCTGATGATCACCAGTAAGGCAATCAATTATGACTTCAGAACATCCAGCTCCGTACGTAAAGTATTCATAAATATTCCCTGAATTAGTTTTATCATTATACTCAATTTTTGGAGCTGAGTAATATCCCGTAGCAGATAAATTTACTCTATCTAAATACGCTGCCATAACCCAATCTTCCCACTTGCCATTGGGATTTTTAATTTTATACGACTCTAATCTTTCTTTTAAAATAGTGCAAGCATCTATTACTGCCATACCATATAAATCAGAACTAATGCTCGCAGCTGTAGGAGAACTGTTTGGCACTTTGTCGGTAGACATTTCACTAATATGTATTTTGCTGATATCCAAATCCAGTGCTCTTGAAGCTACTTGGATCATTTTAGTAAAAAGTCCTTGTCCCATTTCTACACCTCCTATAGATAATAAAACCGAACCATCATTGTATACCAATAATAATGCTCCAGCTTGCATCAGTACATCAGATTGAAAAGATATACCGTATTTCGTTGGAACTATAGCAATCCCTTTCTTTTTCCATCTGTTCATTCTGAAAATTAAGCAGATATGTGCTACTCGTTTATTATTATTATTAGTATTTAAATATTTTAGCATTCTCAAATTATCTATTTACCTAATTATTTTATTCAATAGATAAACGGAATTACTTCAATTAATCTACAATAAGTCTAGTATTACAGCCGAGGCCTATATTCAGCAATAACAGTTAACAGAATAAAATCTATTATTTATCTGTTTAACAAACAAATATTCTATAAACCTACTTACTTATTAAATTCATCCACTTCGACCTTTCGTCTCCAGTAAGCACTATTTTCTATACATTCATTCCAGCACCTTGATAAAGTGCAATATTTAAGTGATTGGTTGTAATGAGTCAAATCTCCCTCTCTATACATATTCAAAATTGCGATTTCTTCATATGTTTTATCTAAATTCGCAGCTATATCTCTTATCATATTTTCTGCAGCGAACATAACTTGAGGCGCACCAAAACCTCGAAAAGCTGTATTTGAAGGCAAATTTGTTTTACAAATATATGCATTTACCTCAACATTAGGTATATTATAGCAGTTATCAATATGTGCTATAGATCTTGACACCAACTGAAAAAAAAATTATAAAAATCGATGGCAATTTAAAGAATAATACTCCAAATTTAGAATACTTTTGTATCTATACAATAATGTTTATAGCTTTATAACTGTCATTTAATATTGTTTTGCTCCATTAAGGTTATTTATTTGAAGAATGATGAAGAATACTAAATTATCCCATCTATCTATTACCTACTATTTTAGGTTTCTTGCATACTAGAAGAAGAGAATCGAAAGCCAACGATTTATATCCTTACATAATACTCATATAATCGTGTTACACAATTTAACATCATTGTTTGGTTATATTTCATAAGCATGCTAGTTTTCAATATAAATATGTTTATAAGTAGCACCATGAGATCTTACCGCACTAGATAAATCCATAGAGAAACCGCCATTGCAATAAATATCTATTGCGGCACCAAAAATCTTTCCATCATCATCAAATGCTACTTTATATTTGATAAGGAAAGGATGTCTATAGCCAGTCGTTTGCATATCTTCATCCCTATCTAAAACTCCTCTGACAGGTTTATTTAATTTATACGCTGCTATTGCCACTGGAACAGCTAACATCATAGCTCTAGTTTCTTTCCCACCAAAAGCTCCTCCAAGCCTTTTTACTTTACATACGACTTTATGGTTTGGTATACGAAGCACTCTTGAAACTATTTGCTGAAATATACAAAATTTAACTAACTACGAATATACTAAAAATGTTATTTATAGTCAATAACATTATTAAGACCCTTTTCTAATATCCTACCATTTTTTTTTATATTTCACTTACCGCTATTTCAGCTGGATTTTGAGAACTACATATTATTTCTAATTCGTCTTCTTTTCTTACAGCGTATGCAGACATTGTTTCCAAATAAAAATGTTCCTGAGCTCCGCTCCTAACGTGACCCTCAATAATGTGAAATGAGTTCGAAAAAACTTCTATCAAATCTCCTTTTTTTAAAGAAACAGGTGACCCAGAAAAGAAAGAACGATGAACTATAGCATCTTCTAATGTAACTATTGTTGGTTGTATTGGATCATACGTTACTGTTACTAGATCTTTCGCTTTTCTAGCTATCATTTCAGATTTAGCAACCACAGCTCCAATCACACAAGATCGGCTGGATACTATATTACTAGAAAATATTTGTTCATCTTTTATAAGAGGACCCACTTTGTTAAACTCTGCATCTATATCTACAGCCGATAGAAATTGTTCCACACCTGATATTGAAAGGGCTTTACTAGCATCTATTGACTTAATTCTAGCATGTGATTCAGTACTCAAAACTAATGTCAAAAATAATTCTCCTTCGATATGTGGAATATCATCACAGTACATAGCTTCACCTGTTGCTTGTTTCATTGCTGATATGTGTGGTACGGGTTTTCCAACACAATCCGAAATTTCAATGGCGTCGTTTTTCAAATCAAAATATTGCGAACTCTTTGGCTCGCAAATATGTAAGTCGTTGATACCATATAACTGGCTGTTTATTAGATTATCACCAGTCGCTGACGTTAAATCACTTAAAACATGAAGATAAAATTTATAAAATAAACTTAAACATAGTGATTTACGGTAGATCGCCATACCTCCAGGAACAGAAATGTCTAATTTTAATTCATGTGTAAGTGAATCCATTACTTTATTTAACATATTTTTATTCCAACAACATCCTTTTATTAAATTACACGAATTTACTGCACATATAGTAGTTGGTCCCATGCCCCCATAACAAATTTTAATTTCTGAAATTACTTTGTCAATAAATTTAACGCTAAATGCTGCTGTTACAATAGAAATATCATCATTTCTTCTACGCGACTGTTTGTATGCTTTAAAAAAATGTTGATTGTTAGTAAATGGTATTTCTATAGATACAACAATGTCATTGTCTCTAAGTAATGTTTTTCTGTAGCTCACAAAAAAATCACTATCAATTACTACCTTTCTATGTCCTTTGTCTAAACTGTAAATATTGAGTACTGCAGAACACGCCATTAATATTGGATTCAAATCAGATATAGGGCTAGCTGTTACTATATTTCCAATAAGTGAAGCAACATTTCTAACTTGATTACCAGCAAACCAATGAAGTATATTTATTATAGCTTCAAAAACTTGTCCTCTGCTAGTGTCAAGTTTCAGCTGTCTATTCAGAAAACTATTCACCTCATTTAAAGAAACCGCAGCACCTATTGTTAATTCCTCTTTAGTAGCGTCACAAATATACATTTCTGGTATCATAGTCGGACAAAGTAATATGGGATATTTTATTTTCTTGAATTTCATTTCTACTCCTATTTCGGTATTGCCAATTACAATTTTGCTATTTGGATATTTATTTTTCAGTACTATCAAATCTTCAAGATTCTGTGGTCGTATCCATATTACGTTTTCTCCTTTAAACATTAAATATGACTCGCTATAACTGTTATTCAACTTTAATTCAGGAGGAAAAATTGGTTCTTGTGTTGCATCATATGGTACAAAAGATGATTTCCTAAAAAGCTCATTTTTATTATTCTCTTCCGCTTTTTTATTCCGACAGCAATTATCACCCATTGCGCACGAACTGCTTCCTTTTGCATTTACATAATTTATTTCCCATGCTTCCCCAAATGTTTTGAAAGCTTCAATTATCGGTCTGTAACCAGTACATCTACATAGATTTCCTTGCAATGCTGTGTCTATGTCCGAATAGCAAATCTTTTCTTTACTTCTTAATAAAGCATACATGGACATTACGATCCCCGGCGTACAAAATCCACATTGTGACCCATGTGCTTTCGCTAGCCTTTCTTGAACCGGATGTAATCGATCTTGCGTCGAACCGATACCTTCTACTGTGGTAACCGCTAAGCCGTGCATAGCACATACCGGAGTCAGACAAGCATTTACAGCTATATGTCTAATGATATAGACGTTAAGGTTTGTATTTATTCAAAACTCGATTTAAATCTTGACCTCCCGGCACGCGGCGTTTGGTAACAATAAAGTAACTACTACATATAAGTGGAAGAATTCGTGAACATCAATAAGCCTAACGCCCGTTAATACTATCATCAACCTAAGAATGGAATTAATTCCCAGCAGCCGTATTTCCGAACAAATACGGCAATGAATCTTTCAAGAATAGAGCATATGTCTTCCTAAAAGGCCGACAACTGACCTGCAATTTCACTAATATTGCATCATCAGGTAAGTCGCTTACTCATTTGCCCCTAATCCTTTTTCAGTGGATGCAAATGGCTCAGGACGGTTCTTTATGGCAATCTATAGGGAGCTTATGTTCAGCAGTGATAATGATGATCATGATTGTCATTACTGAGAACTAAGATGTTAAATTTCGGTATAAAGTTATAAATTATATTGCTATATATTTGTATAACTACTTTTCAAGGGAAAGAAAACTAGAAATAAAACTTGCCGCATTACCAACGTAACAATAATCGACTAATATCCTTCTTCTATGGCTTAAATAGTTGCATTGTAATTAACATACCACTAGATTTGCCCATTTCTCACAAAACATAGCGGGTGAGCCTATCACTATCACTCGAGTTTATTTAGCACCTATACTTTGGTAACATTAAAAAAAAAACAGTAAAATATTAAAAAAATAAACATTATTAAATTAAGAAAATAGTAAAAAAGGATACTTGACGCGATCTTCCAGTTTCAAATACTGAGAAACCATGACTGTGCAGGCACCACAGCCACCCTCTCCGCAGCCATACTTTGTACCCGTTAAGTGAAGCTTCTTACGTAAATACCAAAGCAACGTCCATTCTGGATCAGGTTCGGATTCCACTACCTAAAAAATTATTTAATTATTTAACACTTTAATGCACCAATATTATAGGACTTGTTGAAGGATTTTCAATAAACATAGTATAGTACAAAAGTGGTCTTATTGCTAAGCAATCTCTTCCAGACAACTTTTGGGAAAAAGAATTTAAAGAATAAACGAGTTGACGGCGCGTTAAAAAAATACAGTTAAACTTCGAAGATATTAACAAATACTAAGTATGTACCTAACCTAATATTTTAGCCATTCATTTAGTGCATTCAAAATACTTCAAAGTTTGAAGACGAACGTCTTTAACCAGTGCGTGTTGAACCTATGGAACCGAAACACGGTTGGCCATACGCAGAAGCTATGTTACTCAGTGAGCTATGAAGAGGGCTATGCTTGATGTTTCTTTGCGTGATAGAAACCGCAATAAAATAAAAAAGAACGACACGGCCTGAATCAGAAGCAAGCTGAAGAGTAAAAGGTCACATAGCTCGAAGAACCGACAACAGATGGGAAAGAAAGGTTTTTAAGCGGCGACCCTGTATAGGCAAACACAGTGTAGAACGACTTGGGTTCGTTCTATACTGTGTTTGCGTTTCGTATTATTATAAATAGAACGACGACCTCAAATGCATTGCGAGGGTTAATGGATGCATATTGCTCGGGACCGGTCTTTACGGCAGAGTACGGGGGAGGCCTATGCTCAGTAGTGGCCAACGATAATGTGATGATGATGAAGATGATGAATTGGTACTTTTTGAATTAACCGCAGTAAATTAAAAAAAGGTCGCAAATAAAAACTAATGACATATTCTGATCTGCTATAGTGAATTTTTCACGATAAGCCAAATAACCCGACATCATCCACAGCTGTGATCACTGACTAGTAGCCTGCCAACGAATACCAATAGCGCAGGCGTGATAAAGTACCATTACATTAAGAATATGAATCTCTCGCTTATTTACTATAAATGGCCCTGAACAACTAGCATTTGTATTTGAGGTCATCGCTCTGTCTAGTGGGGGTCACCCTATTCGCCACTAGGGATATAAATAGATATTGTGTTCATAATCAGTGGCTTGACTCTCGTAATATTATCAACGGCCTACTAAAAAGTTCTGTAGCTCATAACTATAAAATGTGAATCTGTAAATTCTTCTTACTATTGTTATAAATATGAAAAATTATTTGTTGCCTCATAGCTTATGTACTGATGAAATTTTGCCAGTAGTTGCCACACTTAGCAGGCGAGTTGGCAACCGCAGTTTGGCTTTTAGTGATATTTTAAAAGTGACGCTGCTACCGATATCACGACCATTAATTTTCCTTAGACGCCTTTTAAAACACCCACGGAAAAGGAGTGGCCCATTCTATGCCGGGACCACACAGTAAAATTTGGTATAAACGTACTATATGTATGTATGAGATGAAAATGACTATTTTTTATCCCGGTCAATAAACATAAACCGGTTCCGCGGACGAAGTTGCGGATAAAAGTAAAATCCAATATAGCTGTAAATCGTGTATTAGATGAAATCATAGGAAATTGAAATATTTAGTAATTTGTAGTGTAATCCTGCATAAAAAAGTGTATCTAAGTGTACCAATCTACTTGCATACTATACAATACACAAATATAGTCGAACTTTAAAAACTTAATTGCCTACTTACGCATTACGAGTTGTCTAATATAATATAAATTATCTTATATGCATCATGTGCGGTCGTCCATATTTACTTACCTATCTAACCTACCTATAAAATGAAATTCATGCCCGTACGCAGAATTATAATTAGCTTGCATTTTTGTTTAAAGGCATATTACGCACCGATATCAATAATTCTTTCTGCAATTGATAATGTTTTTTTATAATTAAAGGTAATTGTTTATTTTTTAAGAAACAAAACAAAATAAAAAAAGGCACTTACCTTCTTACCGTTCACATAAAACACTAAATCTGTTTTGGCATTCTCAGGTATGTGTATCGTTAATAATTCCATTATTTAAATAACGCACAAAGTGCACATTTACAGCTGCACAAGTTGTCGAGCTACCAAGCTGTAACATGCGACTGATATAAAAATGCGACTAAGGTAACTGGTTTAGTAAACATGCCGCTCGCGAGCCCTGATAGACAATAAATTGACGGAGATTAATACTAAATAGGTAGGTATAAATTTATGAAGTATTTTATGCTACAGACTGTTCCATTCAAACAAATGCAATGCTATTTATGAAAACATTCTCCAGTGTATTATTTATAATTTACACCAACATACATAAGAGAACATCATTTCTGATATCTTATCAACAGTAGCAGTATTACTTACGACTTCATTCACATAAATAATATTTTATCGGTTGCTTTTATTAACATTCTCTTATATCATTATCTATGTATATAAACGGAAAATTAGAATGACCCCAATTTATTCATTACATTAGGCAACTACCTAGTGCCGAAACTAGAAATATTAAATAATCATTTTTAACCATACTATGAAATCTAAGAGTTATTACTCCAATTACCTATACCGTACCAGTTAGTAAAGTTATAAATTCAGACATACAGACCACAGAAGTGGTGAATTCGAATCTTATCGAAACCTAAATAAAAATAATTTCAAGAAGAGGAATTCGACTTTTTTATTTTTTTATGTGAGTTATTACTCCGCTAGTTCTAAACCGAATTAGAAAATTATTTTTTTATTTGAAAGAATATATGTACTTACAGATTGGACCCATACAATTATAATCAAAATCGGCTCAGTAGTTTAGTTTTTAGATCAAAATAACTGGTTTTGTTACAATTGAAGTGGATTTTTTTGTGGAACACAATTTTTAATTAAAAAGGCAGATTAATAAGTCCAGTAAAAATGTATGAAGCTTTAATATCAATATATAATTTATGAAATGTTTGGACAGGGCATTGTTTTGAAAATATATACACGAAATTTCGTGTATGTAATTTCGAATTATGGTGAATATTCTCCGTCACTTAAGATGATTCACAACTGGTTTACCGAGTTTCGTCGTGGTAGAACAAGCACGGAAGACGCACCTCGTTCAGGACGTCCAACTGAGATAACCACTCCAAAAATGATCACGAAAATTCACGATATCGAATTCGGAGATCAACAAGTGAATTTGAGGTAGATAGCCAACACTGTAAACATCTCATATGAATAAATTTCTAACATATTCCATGAACATTTGCATTTGAAAAATGTCGGCAAAATGGATGCCACGTTTGTTGACAATTGACCAAAAACGTGAGTATCACAATTTCCTAGGCTAATTAGTGGCTGTTTAAACGAAACCTAGATGAGTTTTTGCGCTGTTTCATTACTGTAGATAAAACATGAATTCATATGGTGTATAAAACACCAAAGACAAAACAACAATCTAAGCAGTGGGTTGAAGCCAGTGGCAGTCCTCCGAAGAAGGCTCAGTCAGCAGGCAAATTTATGACCACGGTTTTTTTGGGGCGCACAAGGTACAATCTTAATTGATTTTCTCCAAAGAGGTAAAAAAAATTTAAGGAGAGTATTACGCTATACTCTCAGACTAATTAAATAATGAAATCGACACAAAACGGCCTTATCTTGCCAAAAAGAAAATCCTGTTTCACCTCGATAATGCTCTACTCATTCTTCCGCCGTTGTAACAGCCAAGCTAGTGGAGTTACGCTACGAAATGCTTCCCAATCCACCATATTCTCCTGACTTATCTCCAAGTGGTTTCTTCCTTTTTCCAAACAAGTATAATGGTTTGGTGGACGAAGCTTTGAATCTAATTTGAAAGTTATTATTTTTATTATTACTTCAGGGAGTGCGGGTTAGCAACCGCTGTTATGCCTTTCAAGATACTTTAAGAGTGACGCTGCTGCCCATCCTTCGCGCTTTGAAAGTTATGGCCTCCTACTGCCATGTGCAGGAATGTAGATAAGGCCGCCTTCTGTATCACTTCTAATCAATATTTACTGTATTTGTTTTTAACTTGTAAAAAACCAAATCTTTTTGTAATATGGATAAAACCATATTACGCCGACTCCAAATGATTGGGATAAGAGTAGGAAGATGATGATTTGTTTTTAACTTGGTGCAGTAAAGTGTAAAATAAATAAATAAATAATACTTGAAATCCCCATATTTTACCGAGCCTATTAGAATATGTTGACAGAGAGTGCCACTCAAATTAATTTGTATATTCTCAGTATTTTACTTCACAGAAGAGTTAGGAAGGAGAAGGAATTGTTAATAATAGGGATTGGTAGCTCCATTGCTAGCAACACACCCTGTTAACCTTCTAGCAATTTCCCCTAAAAACCATTGAAGTTACTTCTTAGAAAATTGAACATGATGGGGTAATTAATCAACTTTCATCCTCACTTATCCCCTGTCACTTGTGTCTCACCAGCATATACTGTTAATGCAGGCGGGATGTCCATTCCATATTCACCCATTAAAAAAGCCCCCATATGCAGCTATTACATTCAATCTCATGTATACAATACAATTCGATACAATCGTGAAAATATCTATAGATAGATTAATTTTTTTCTTATCTCTGAAAGCAGGTCTGTCAGCTAACGAACTCAAAGCACAGTGTGTATTGGTAACAAAATTTATTGGTAACAAAATTTATTGATAACTACAAACTCATTATATATACTAGTACTCTCCTTATTATTATTATTTACAGCAACTGTCTAAATACATAAATTTTAATAAAGTTAATTTATTAAAACATAAATTCCTATTTCATTATTAAATATCTTCTAATACGTCCTATTAAAATGTTCCCTTTAGAAAATTAATTTAATTATATTGCTGTAGGTATAGGTTTTCCTTTTAAATTTTATGATAAATAAAGCAGTTATTATGCCTGAATGCCATCTAGTGTATAATATATATAAAGAGTATAGAAGTTGAAAAATTTTTCAAATAACAATTTTGTGGTTAAACAATTATAAAAGTTGATATGTAAACATGTAATGTAATGTAAACAATACAGGAAAGTATTTATGATGACTTACAGGAATTAATAAAAAAAATACCTCCAAAAAATCTTTTGTCATATTTGCGAACTTCCATGATAATAAGTCAATGGAGTATAGAGTAGATTCTGAAACACCATTGTCTACCTTAAAATTAAAAAATTAATTTGATATTACAATGAAATGTTTATTCTAAAGACGAGTATAAACAAATTTTTTAGTAGAATTGGATCATATATACATTACATTTAAATTTAGATAGTCAATACTATAATAGTATCGATAAACTATCAAATTAAAATTATAATTTTAGAGATAGTTTAGGGAATGGTAGCTCGGAATCAATTCCAATATTACTTCCTACACACTTGAAAAGTTATCTCTTAATTTTAAATAAAGAAAAGAATAACAAAAATCTACTAGATGGCATCATCCACCTCAATTATTGTTACTATACACATGTTTTTTAATAATTATACTCAATTCATGTTTTGAGAAACTAACTGAACAATTTATTCTTAATTTAAATATATAAATACAACCTAAACATGTGTCAACTCAAATGAAGATTAGATTATAAGAAATAAGGAAACAGGATTGGTCATCAGGTACTGCTAAATTAAGCAGATTTTAAAACACCTTTTTGTTCTAATTCTTTCTCTACCACAGTACCTTCATAAAGTATCTTATCTTTTAAAGCTTCCTGTAGCAACTGTGCATCAAATCTCTGTTTAGACCATTGATATCGACAGAATGACCAATAAATTAATGTGCTTATAGAGAATGTACCAAAACCAATGTGTTGTGATAACATAGGTCGAGATGTCTTGAGGAAAGCTGCCAAACCCACTCCAGCTCCTGTAGCAATTCCATACAAGAAACTTTCACGGAAACATGGTATTTTAGATAAATCTCTACCAAATACCACTAAACCCTGAAAACAATATAAATGATATTGAAATTGATCTTTTCATTTTATAAGATTTCAATTGATAATTGAACTCTTATAAAATAAAAATACTCATGACATAGAGAATCAGAGCCATACATTGACTATAGTTTTGTATATATGATTGAGATGCTTACATTTTTTTTACATAACTTAAAATAGCAAACAAGGTGATGGGCCACCTGATGGAAAGTGGTAATCATAGAGGAAAGAGATTGTTACTTATGCAGACTACTAATCCTATTGCTAGCAATATAACTTGCCAAATCAACCTCCACTTGGTCCCCCTGGAAATCATCATGCTGAATTCCAGGTGTATTCATTATGACAAGTTAAGAGACCTGCCTTTTCATTCCCACCAATACACCACCAACCATACCATTAGTGCAGGCAGCCAGGGTCGCCATCCCATTATCATCCATAAAAAAAACAATACAATGTGATGAATTTATAAGAATTAATTGCAATGGTTTCCAGGTAGGACCATGTGGAATTTGACCTGACATAGTATATTGCTAGCAATAGGGTTGGTAATCCCCATTACTTCCATGCCCATTGCAATGCCTTCACACCCCCTGTAGATGTAGGTTACAGAACCACCATCAGGGTGGAAAGGGACTGTTAGCAATGGAGTTTGACAGCCTCATTGCTAGCAATATGCCCTATTAGGTCGACCTCCATGTGGTTCCCTCTGGAAACCATTGTGAACAATTCTTGTTGAATTCATCATGATGGGCTAACTGACCTGCTTCATCCTCACCCATCATCCTTTACTGGTGCCTCGCCGGTGTATAGCGCGGCTAGGGTTATCATTCCATTATCGCCCATTAAAAAAACGAACCACCATCAACACCCTATATATCTTTCCCCATTATTAAAATTTTGCACCGCATATTTTTGCCCTAACTAGATAGATTACACAAACGTCAGGTATAATAAGTATTTATAGAAAATAGGTACTAAATTAAAAATGCAACAAATACCTTTTTTTCTTCTGGATCTTCATCCAACATACTTTTGACAACGGTATCCATGACTTCTAAAATTATGAAGAAAATTTTAATTATAGTTGTGATTCGGTGGATGGAAATAAAAGAAATTACGTAAAATAATATGAGAGTAAAATGTAATGTAAATGTGTTACGGTAATAATAACTTAATAAAATACCTTAAAAAGTTTACAGTACTTGAACCTAAGAAATTTGAAATAGGTAACTATTTTTATGAAATATTTATTAATAATATCATAATAAAAGAATCTAGAATAACAAGCAAAGCATATATTTTCAATTTTTCATATATGCATGTTATTTTTCTAAAAAAATTACAGACAATATTAAAAAGTAAGTAATAATAATAACATTCCATCAACTGTCACTACTTCAGCTGACAGTGACAGTGGGACTGTTTTTTTTTACAATTTTTATTGCTTTTTTACCTAAGAACAAGGAGTTAAATAAAAGGAATGATAAAATAATAACTGTAAATCATATGATTCACATCACACATCCAACATATTATTTATTTTAATGTTTAAAAGAAATGTATTTGTAAGTGAAACGCTGTTTTTGAAATGCCACCATAACTCTGACTGCAATGGTGCCTATTGAAAATGTCCATAATCCACCATAATAGATTTTTGTCTATCGCAGGTCCGATCTCCTGTAAATATGCTACTTTAATTCTTTGCCTCTTCAAAACATCCGCTAGCTCTCTTCCTCTTCCAGTTATAAAACCTACGTTCTACTACCAAATGTGATATATATTTTTCTTACTTTATGGACTAGCGTCTTTCGTTGCCCCCACCTGTATTGGTTCAAGAACCCTTATCCACTTCCCATAGGCACAACCCTTGTTCACTCTCCACAGGCGATGGGTGCTGCACATGCACGTTGCCTCTGGAGTACACCTATCGCGATCTTTTTTATACGTATCCATATCATAAAAATATTTAGCTTATGGTTTTACGACTGGCCGCCTGCCTGACGTATATATATATATATATATATATATATATATATATATATATATATATATATATATATATATATATATATATATATATATATATATATGTGTGATTCTTAATATTTAAAAGTAATCACAATATTCCACAGACGATGTCAGCAAGTTTGTACGAAATAAACTAGAAAGTATAATACATAGAAAATGAAATTGCTACAGAAAAAGATTAGGTGATTGCTGAGATGATCAAATGAAAATTTATATTTTATTATTGGATGAAACATCTAATAGTCATATGACTATTAGATGTTCATATATATGAAATCAATAATATTTATTTTTTCTATTCCAAATCGGATTTCTGGATTCGTTTTTAGTTATAGCTCAATTCGTATTTGCTCTAGTTTATGGATATGGACATATTTGTCAGTTACTTACCACTGTCACTGTCACTTTGACACCAATTTGTAAACCGCAATCATTGTGAAAAAGACTGAAGAAAGAATGAAGAAAAAGAAACTGATAAAACATGAATTGATTGGTCGTCGATGACTGGATCGCTATTATGCTTGCCTGTTTCTTTCAGCCAAGGCTTTTCTCAAGGTTCTAAAAGAATGTGTTTACGTAAAATGTTTTACAAAAATGTTTCAACGATGGACCTTTCGCCTCTGTGTTATTATAGTCTTGTAAATAATCAATACTAATGAACAATCTGTGCCATTTTCTTTAGACTAGAGTGACAAAAATCAGTTCGTGATTCGCGGGTGATGAAGTCCGTGAAACTACTTCGAAGCTATATTTAATCTCTAGCACAACAGACAAAGAAACTATATTGTTTGTTAAATAACTCTAGTGAAATATTCTGAATGTACTTTAATTATACTTACATAAGTATATAATAATCCAATAACAATTTACGTATTGAAAGTTACAATCACCAGCTTTTATGATAGGTAAGTACTTAGTTTATAAATAATAAACACCACTGATCATATTACACCAACAAAATTTACCGTATATTCTGTCACTTCAATATGTATTAAAAATAAAACTAAACAAATAAGATCCTATTAATATTATAAATGTGGAACTATATAAGGATAGATGATGGATGTCACTCTTTCACATTAAAACTATTAAATATATTTGGTTCATGGGTAGGTTATATCCTAACCTAGCACATAGGATGGCCAGTGAGCACCCTTAGAGGATTACCTCTATGTCAAATTTTATGATAATTGTTTAAGTAGTCAAGGTACCAAGTAGTAACAAACTTGTAAATGGTGGTCAGTGGATATCCTTATGGGTGATGTTTATTATTATTTCATAAAATTTAATGTTGAAACTTTTTGATTATGAACTAATAGTACATTAATATTCAGATCAAAATTAACTAATAGATCTAAATGAAAATAATATTGAAAGTAGGAGGCAAATTTTATGATTATTATTAATTAATTTTATTATTAGATGAAGCCACAACTGAGTCATTTAAATTTCATGAAACTAAATTGCTACTGCTAATCTATACAGTATTTTTCTCTAATTTACAAGTAAACAATCAATTATTTTTGAAAAAAAAAACAGTTAAACTGTTGTTAGCAATGAAACTCATATAAAAAGTTACATTTGAGTTAATTTTGAAGCACCATTGCCAATTCCTAAAATTTCAGTTTCATATTACAGTAAAAGGATTACTCTAAGGACCAGTAAAAGCAACATAGTAGAAAGTTATAACTCAGTGGTATAAACAAATTTGCATCAGAACTGTTTTACACTTAATTGTCAATGGTGCATACCATAATAGTTTAGATAAATTATCAAATTATAATTATAGAGAAAAATTTAAAGAATTGTAACCTCAAATGGACTCAATTGCATAGTAAACTTCTACAGTAATGAGAATTGAATTTAATAATTGCTGGTTAAAATTTAAGCCTTCATATAAAGCACCCAATTTTACTTAAAATTGTTTTGTGAACATACACACCACACACAATACTATATTTACCTATCTAATTTTCTTTTAGACCAGTTCAAGTTGTTTTTTTTATATTTGAGAGAAATATATTCAGTTTTTTAAATAATTAATAACATGTGCTTAAAGCACATAGAATGTAACACATAATTTGTGCACTATTTTTAGTGTTCATATGGAAATCTCATTAAACATTCAAAATAATGGTAACATCTTTGACTCAAAGAATAATTTATGAAAATAAAAAAGATTTTATATTTCAATGGCTCTATCAGTACTGGCTTTAGGGGATATAAAGGGAAAGCCCAAAGGATCAAGAATTAATAAGATCAATAAAAACTCAGACATCATTTTAAACTCAATCCCAATTCACCTTTTATTCCATTCTCAAGTGGGAGAGGCTATCAAGTACCTTTAAAGACTTACCATTGAGTCTAAGGTAGCCAGGTTTTTTATTTTTTTATGCAACTCAGAATGACAAATAAAACGTTGGCCCACCTCATGGAAAGTGGTAATCATCATCTTTAGACATGAACAGTACCTTGGACATAACAACATATACTGAATTGCCTGTGATGCCCTTTATGCGTTGCCATTCCTGAGAACTAAAGTGTTATGCATCTGTACCTTGTAATTTCATTGTGATATTCCCATCAAACAGATAGCCACAGCCATACCAATAGCTGTTTCATGGCAATAATATGAGTAAGACATCTATTTACTACTTTTCAAACCAAAACAAAGCTATGCAGACACAACTGCTTTACAGCAGAAACACGAATGGGATACTATATCTAGTTACCCAAGCAGATGATTTTTGTACAGTATCTTTCTGGTAAGGTAAACCTGGATCTAAGCTTAATAGATCATCATCTCAATATATGATATTTTAATGAATGTGAGTAAATCTGCAAGATACAGCTAGTTCAATAATATTGTACTACTATAGTTTTTAGCTAACTACTGAAATAAGGAGGATAATGCACTTTAGGTGTATGTGTCTTTGGAGAAACATGTACCTTAAATAACTTGACAGATTTTAATGAACTTACCATAGCAATCCATTAAAATCCTACTACTAGATACATACCTTTTCCCATAAAAGCAGGCTTCAGACTTGTTATTATTATGCTAAAATATTGGCCCCTTTGCTAGCTTGGTTAATTCCTGGGATTCGTCCTCAGCTATCATCCTTCACTAGTACCTTGCCAGGGGGGAAGGATTGTTAGTAATGGAGACTGAGAATCCCATTGCTAGCAATATACCCAACCAGGTCGACCTCCTCGCGGTTTCCCCTGGCAAACTATCGTGGTTAATTCCTGATGAATTCATCATGATGGGCTAACTGGCCTGTTTTCATTCTCATCTATCACCCTTCACTGGTACCCCGCCAGTGTATACCGATAGAGCAGGCGGGATTGCCATGCCGTTTTCACCTATTAAAAAAAGTACCTTGCTAGCGTAAACCGATAATGATTAGAGGCTGCTATTTCATTTCGCAAATAAAAAAAAAAGACGTCTTGTCCTTATGGCTTAGTGTATCGAGATTTCATTTTCTTTCATAGGCATATTGTTTCTTCTATATTTAATCGTCTCTTACGACATCCTAAGAATGAGAAATTGTGGTGTATATTAGATTCTTACTCTGTTATGTATCTGGGTTTAAAATAAATATGGATATATGAATATATAGTAATATAAACTGTTGAAAAGTAACAAAATTTATAAATAAGTTTTTTACAAACTTCCCTTGATTTATATTAAATTAGCTGACCCCGCAAACGTTCTTTTACCGCCTCGAGTTGCGAGTAAATACCTAGTAAACATTAATAAAATTTCATTAACAACGGTTGAGCAGTTTCAAAGATTAACGTGTACGAACATCATAACAAGGAATTTTTATATATTAATAAGGAAATCTCACGACTTCACGCCCATTAAGAACATAAATTACTTAATACGGGTTGACTTTCATGTCATTTTGACGAAAATCTTTTACTAGTTTTAGGATTGAGATCAACTTCAGAACTTTACTTAGTACTTACGAAACATTTAACAATAAAATTAGCTGTTAATATAAACACTTACAGTGCTGTCTATCTTTACCATCCATGCCTACATAGCTAGTTTTGTTAGTAACTCTATCGACCCACTCTATTTTAGCATACCCGTGTCCTTGTGAAGTTGTTACTCGCAAAGAACAATTTATTGATATTTACTTCCAATAAAAGCTCACGACACTGTAATAATGTGATTGCATGTACACAGAGATAAATTTGTCTCGCATCTAATTGAATGGCGCCTCACAATCGCCTCTACCGCCTCCAACAAATTAACCTATTGACATAAAGGTTATTTAATCTATTTGGTAGAACCCTATGTATATTCCTATAATGGTTTTTTTATCATTATGATTTCTTGCAAAATAGGTCTACACAGGTAGTA